GGGTTTCTCTGGGTTCCTCTTATTTCTAACTTCCTACGCGCATGCGAATTACTAAATACAGATTAATCATAATAGTTAGTCATTGTCAATTAGCCAACAAAGGTCAAACTAATATTAAAGATTTTCCAATCCATATAGGCTATTGTTGCAGATATTATTTAGGTCTTCTCTTACGTCAATAAGTGTTTATATGACTGATTTACGTCATTGACAAGAACCTGTTGCAATATGTTTATATAACCAATTCCTGTATAATTATATACGTTTATACATAAATATTCCATGGTTCATTGCTTGTAAGTCACCTAATCTCGCTGAATCTGACTCGCGGTTATCTCCGAGGTCTGTAATCGCCCGCGGTGAGTCTGGTTCAGTTGGTCTATACAAATGGACGACGGAGATTCCCACCCAAACTAACCGTATATCTAGTAATGTGACTCATACCATGTTTCACTGGGATGTGGATTTGGGGGAGCTACGGTGGTTCAGTGAGTGAGACACTGGCTTACTAGTCGAAAGGTTTCGGGTTCCCTCCCGGTTTTGACCGGCAAAGATCCTCGGGATTTTCTGACTCGCATGGTACGAAGAACCGAAGTCCCGTATACACCTGGAAGTGCACGTAAAAGACCCATTGGCAGTTGGAGATATTTGGTATAAGAGTAGGCCGTAGCGCCGCTGTCCGGACAAAATTTCCCTCATAGCACACGTGGCCTATACAGTGTCAACCCTGTCAGAGCAGAACAGTAGGTTGTTAAACCTCATTTCACTGGATTTGGCATGGATTTCATTATATTTCATGTTTTCTTCTAACTATACACATTTACTTCTTTTGATTCACTGGATTTTATTGGTTGATTTGTTTTGGAAAATGACAAGTCGTCTTGCATCTCCAGATAAAACCAATGTTAAAATTTAACCGATTTTGTGTTCCACTGACCGAGTATAGGCTCTAATACAAAAATGACACTAAAATTAGATTTTTTAAAATATCTTTTATAATAAAATCATTTATATTTAGAATATGGTGTTTAGAATATGCATATACTATAACATATATTGCCTTGTCGTTCACTTTTTGCAATACTTTGGGCGATATTAACAAAAAATGCTCTTGTCGGTGATTAGCTAGACCGTATTTATCAATATTTCAGTTATTCATTTAAATTTTGGATGTGTAGAATGTGCATATCAATAACATATTTATGCAGTTCTTTGGACTTTATTGGCCAAAAAATGAAGCTCTTGTCGGAAATTAGTAAGATCCGTAATAGCAAAAGGGATTGATCAAAGGATACTAGCAAGTAGAACAATGCCGATAGGAGAAATGGGCTATAATTCAACGTTGCGGAAAATTAATCCTTTTTACAGAGACCTGATGAAAGCGAAAATACCCTCGTAAATAAAGCCACCGCTTTGGTTCATATGATTTAAATTAAGTAAAACATTTTTTAAAAAATATTTCCCGATAAATTTAGTTTTTCGTCGCTGGGTGACTTCATTGCTTAGAACCGGGAGTAAGGTAATTTCTATTTCAATGCTTCGCTCGCGCGTAGTGGTCTTTAGCAAAGGGATGAACCTGTGGGAGATTCGGAGAAAAACTCACGGGGTTAGGCATGGCGCCCGACACGTTATACCACGCCACTCAATGACCAATGCCAATAGTAGATAACTGACGAAGCTTTCATGTTCGACTACCAGTATAACCACGTTATAAATGAAATGAAATGGGGTTTAACGTCCTACTGTTCTGCATCGATTGGGCTAATGAAGACGGGCATACGCCATACAGTGTGTTATGGGGGTAAATTTTGCCCGGCAGCGGCACTGTCGCCTACTCTTATATCGAATTCCAACTGCCAGGGGATCTTTTACGTGCATTCCAATATATACACTGGACCTCGGTTTTTCGTCTCATCCAAAGGACTAGACAGCTGTCCTTTTCAGGCCCTCCGTCCTGCATTACTGACAAGGGGAAACCCTGCCGGAAAATCTGGATGAACTTTCTCGGCCAATGCAGGGATCGAACACCCGACCTCCAGGCTAGCGAGCCAGCGTCTTACCCACTTAGCCACGTGATCCCCTAACCACGTTATAATCTTGCATGCGATATCACCCTGGGTGGAAGCGGACGTTAAGCCCCACTGACTGGCTGTTTAATCAATCTGATTAAAATACAGATCTATATTTCGTCTCGTTCTGTTTTTTATACTTGCGATGGCCTACACTACGTGAAGGTCTGGCCGGTTGTAGTGGGAGGTCGGGTCAGGGGTCGTACGAGCTGCCTTTGCCTGTGACGTAAGACATTGATTAATCAATCAGCTTTGACGTTTCTAGTGGTTTACCCACAGTTCCGTGCATCGCACTACAAGAACTCGCCGTAAGAGACCGTTTCATTGGCTAATCCCTCACTTCAACCAGCATAGGCGTACGAGCTGGGGGGGGGGGGGCTGGGGGGGGGGCGGCCGCTCCCCCATTTTGGGCACCAAATGCTGGGAAAATTTGGGCACACAATTGTACTTTGTAAAATTTGTATAAAAAAAAAATATTGTATTCTTGAGTGTGTCCAATTTAACAGCGAATTTATTACTATTATGTAACATACTAAGAACCTAACTACATTTTTTGGGCACCAACCACCACCGCCCCCCAGTCAAAAATTTCCCCGTACGCCTATGTCAACCAGAACGCCGGTAATATAACTACTCTTCCAGATTCTAGTGTAGTAAAGACGAGTAAAACGAAATTAAGAAATATATAAAACGCCACGAATTAGGATCTGTGTTTTAATCAGGCTGTATCTTTAACCATGTAGTACAAGCTTATTTAGTTCGGGTTCACTCACAGAAATCGATATGCGTGGGTTTATATTCTACTCTACTATTGTTATAGAACAAACACAGTCGGCAAAATATAGAGATACTATAATAAACCTCTGCTTCTGCTTAATATTCTTTAATTATATCAATTTGCTTGAATATTTATAGAAGATGATTTCTGATTACAGCGCCATATCAATCTGGTTTAATTCAGACGTTAATTTCTTCTCGTTAGATATCGTTATGAAACGTTAAACAAACATTAACCTATTATGGTATTTTTGATCTTTCTTTAATAAAACATTTTCTGGTTTAATGAAAATAATAATTTGACTCCATGGAAACAAATATGACATAGTATTTGCAATGCAAAGCTGTGGCATATTGATGATTAAATGTTTTTGTTTATATTGTAGTTTGTACAATCAGGGCCCTGTTTCTCGAAACCTTAATTAAAGATAGAATCCAAATTTTAGTATATAGTTCAATTTTGATTGGCTAAGCACTAAAATGAACCTAATATTATCCAATCAAATTACTAAAATTTGGATTTTTATCTTAGTTAAAATTTCGTGAAACAGGTCCCTGTCATTACTGTCTTTGACATCAGAGTCACTGCACGTCGACGTCACTAATTAGCCGGAATGTAAAAGATGGCGGGCAGAAAACGGGGTATTCTAACTCTTGTCGAACACCTGATGCTACCCCTGATTTATTTGAGAAGTTCATACAGCTAATAATTCACGTTGTACCTATATCTAGCCTTAAATTCCACGCACCATCCAATCTAATAAATGTCTAATTCGTTTCGCGTTAGCGTAATTTGAGATTCCAATATAAAGGATTATGGTTGACATCCATCTAACTGTAGAATTAACCTATTGTAATTAAGAAGCTACTAAAGCCCAATGGATATTACAGACCGGATTATACACTGCTTCAGACATCTGTGCATCTGACAAATCAATGACAATCCGGCGTGTAGCCTGGTTGAATTCCAGATTTATATCAAACTAATAGTGTAAGACAATAGAAGACATTTCCAAGTGATTATGTAGCAGCAGGAAATGAAATGGGGTTTAATGCCTTACCTTTTTCTTCACTAACCCGGGTTAATGAAAACGGACATACACGCTATAAGGGGAATTTTAATGTGCTGCCAATGGTATACAAGGAACATTGGTTGTTCGCCCGAAACTACTGGCCAGGTGAAACAAGGGTGGAAAATCCCAAGAAAATAGTGGTTAAAGCTGCATGATGTAAAAGCTAAATTTAATTTTAGTTTCAACTGTTATACATGTATAAATTATTAAACATTTATTATGTAAAAGCTAAATCTGCCTATTGCCGGTCTTTCTTTATGCCTGAAATGTTATCTGAATTATTAATTAGACATTAATTAACTTATCCCGTCCATAATCAACTCTGATGCCATCGTTTGCCTGCGATGTTCAGTAGATTTGAATACATTTGGGGATGGATAATTTAACGTATAAATGAATAATCGAGACTTTGTTTATTATCGTACCAACGGTAAATAATGACGATCCAGGCTAACCTAAAATTGAATTGCTAATATCTCGGTTCAGAGTGAAGCAATTTGGCTGAAATTTTCAGCATATTCTGTTTTAATTATCTATTTGTTAACTATTATAGCGTGAATTGTCAGATCTTTATCTAATCTTACCTATTGCCCCTTTAATTAAACAGTTAATAACATGACAAGCCCATAATCAACTCTCTATGTCATCGGATCGAGTGGCTCCGATTTTAAGTAGATTAGAAAGCTTCTACTAATTATTAATTTTATTTAAAAATGGAGGAGCGAGGCTAAATCTCGAATAACAAGTACCGTTGTTGCGATAATAACGTTCAATGTCACATATGGTCAAAACTCCATACATTGATAACTTAGCTAAGAATAAAGTATTTTAACTGAAATTTGCAATATATTCATTTTGCATTATATATTTTTGATCTATTATAGCAAGAACTGTCAGCTCTTTATCTATATCTTACATATTGCATCTTTAATGAGCCAGTGCATACTTGCCGATCGAAGGACCCACAGACAACTCACAGGGTTTGACAGGCGGGCTTGCTCCTCATTGTGAATAAACGGTTCCAATTACCGTTAATCGATTGAATATGTTAATGTGGCATTTTCTATTTTTCTACTTTCAGAACACCTGTAAAATGGTAGCTTATTAAACATATACGTTCATGGAAAATGGCGTCGAGTCATAAACAGGACCGCAAACATTTGGTTACTGATGACGCAGATGAACCTTCAGAACCGGCTGAGGAGATTCATGATCTCCCGCCAAAACACGGCAAGAAAGGTAGCAGAGGTGAGGGGAAGGAGTCTGAAAAAAGAAAACGCAGTTGCCCCCTAAATTTCGGAGTTAAATCGTATTTACACAATTTCTACGAGTCCCATGCATTTAAAGATCCGTTGGTGTACGAAGATGACGATGATTTCCGTTACTTGCTTCATTCCAACCCAAAACGTCGAAGATGTCCTCCAATATGGTGGAAGATCTTTTTGTGGGTCGGGGTGAACTTGTTACTGTTTGGGGTGATTGGTATATTGGTGGGTTATCTGGTTCCCCCAAAAAATCACCTTGAGAAGATTGATGAAGATAATGATATCGCTTACGTTGACAGAAATGCCGAAGCCTATAATACCACTTTAGACATGTGCAAATTAATAGGTCTCATTCTGTTCTGTGTTGGCGGTATGACACTTGCCCTGTCCCTTCTATTCCCAAGTTTTTTCAGTCAATACTGCGAAGATGATCCAAGAGATGAAGCTATAAAAGTACCTCTTCGCGATGGTGAAAAGCCTCCTTTAAGCCCAATTGAGATGAGCGTTCCGGTATCGGCAAAGCTTAAAGGAGTTCAGCCGACACGGAAAAGTCCAGAAGCTCATATGACCAAAACTGGTACAATTCCCGTTAAATGATTTCTATTAAATGCCTAAAACTGACCTAAACGACTGCCAAAATCGATTATTGAATTTGTCAATAACAGAAAATATCAAGTACCCTCTAGTGAATGAATGTTTCGCGGGGAAACAAAAGCTGCAGGCGTGAATCCGCTTATAGATAGCTGGATAAATCTGACTACAGCTCAACCATGACAACAGTTAAGAATGCTTCTGGGAAATATCTTTTATTGTACATTATATTTTATGGGTAGTAAACGGCAATGGTATAAATCAAATACATCTTAGTTGTTTTATCAAATGGCATATTGGCCTTCCCATGTCCATTGGCTTTTCATAGATTTGTGTTCTGTTTGTGGACAGGGTCGTCCTATCGCGGTTTCGAATCCCCGGTTGTACGTGACAAGGAGTAGGGTTGCCTCTCTGTGTCGAGTGGACGTTAAACCCCATTTATCTCTCTCTCTCGTCCTATCGCAGGAACACACTCGGCAGATGCATCTCTCGGTTTGGAGAAATCAAATTCGAAAGGTTTACATAAAATAGCAGTGGCTTTGATGTGAAATCGAGTCCTCCTTACAGCACAATGGGATTGGGACAGCAGCAATCGAATCTCTTATCATCCAATGAAGGTGCATGGCAAGAACTCAATGCTTCACACCAAATTTGAAAACAATCTGTTAACAACAGTAGTCTCTATCGCGTTATCATAAGGTTTTCAAAAAGTGTTGTGAACCTCAAGTAAGACATATCGTTAAGCGCTGAAAATTGATAGGATTCGTCCCCAATGCTTTACATTACAACAAACCTGTTCAATACTGGACGGTGTATAAAATCAGTATAACAGGCAGAATTAATACATATTACATAATAGTACATGTATAGGGTTTCACCTACATGTAGTTACCACCAAATTTCATTTAGATCTCTTATCAAAAGTCAAAAATACATATGAAGCCACTGCCTGGCAGTTGATTTTTGTGGGTCAAAGAGATTAATAAAATTGTAGGAAATCTCAGGATTTGCATAAATTTGCATAAACAGCTGGAATTGTTTTGTATCGGTATCGGTCCCTTTCTATTGAACTATAAAAAACGACACGGAATAGGATGTGTTTTAATCAGATAGAAATGTGGCCATAGCTTTCTTATAATCTCTGTTTGTAACTGAATATAAATAGTCTGGAGAGTTCGTAATAGTAGGTTTAGAAATGAAATATGTACGTAATATGCTGTTATCTGAGTTAGACGAAGACGATATGTTGCAGAAGGAGTTAAATTTTGATTCGAGGGATTTCTTTATATTCTCTTTATTTAGCAAATGTATATGATTTCTTTGGGGTGGTTTAGCGTCCATTCGACACAGACTAGGTCATTTTGGGACTAACATATGGTTTAATTTTATTTCAATAATTCGCTTGCGCGTAGGGTCTTTAGCAGTGGGTGGAAACCGGAGGACCCGGAGAAAACCCACGAGGTTGGACAGGCAACTCTACTCCTTGTCACGTACAACCGGGGATTCGAAACCACACCAGTTGACTCATTGGCAGGCCTTATGATACAGCGCGCACGTGCTAACCATTCGGCCATCCAACCCCCTGTGATTTCTTTGGAGTTTCATTCAACATTGATTTCTTTGGAGTTTCGATGTTGAATCAATGCTTGCCGCTGACCAAGACAATTTTTCATTTGTAGAGGATATATTTTTATCTTCAGTATAGGCTGCTGATAGTAGAATAAATATTTGTTTCATCCTGACATCGTTTAGCCTTTTATGATACATAAGCATGCGGGTATCTAGCGTTATGATACAAGGGAAACTACTCTACATTTTTCTGCACGTGCCAACCGGGCTAATGAAGATGGTCATTGAAATGCATTGAGCTATGACGGATGGCATGTCCGCCTTACTCTTTATTAAATTGCTGCAATCAAAGATTTTTGTTTCCGTCGACAATGTCCCTTGTCAGGTTATCTGTCCTGCACCATTGACAATGGCGAAAACACTATGAAAAATTCTGAGGTATCTTGTGTTTTGTTTGTGGGCAGGGTCGTCTTATCGTAGGAACACACCCAGCAGTTGCAAGGGGATGTCACGATTTGGGGAAATCAATTTCGAAAGGTTTATATTAAGTAGCAGTGTCTTTGATGTGAAATCGGAACCTCCTTCCAGAACAATGGGACAGCAGCAGTTGAATCTGCTTTCTCAAATATGCCAGCAGTTTTCTAAAAAAACATGGACTTTAGATTAATTATAATGCATTGAGATGTTGCTCATTTCCCAGTTACAGTCACAAAACTCAATTTGAACATGATAGGGGTCCTGTACATTGGTTTTTCAGGGAGCCTCGGATTATCTGGTGTTGTCAGCACTATATTTCATCTCGAACAAAGAAATTAATGTACACTATTTCTAATTGCCGACATGAATTCATCATCTGTGCAATTTGTAATTTGGTGGCTATTGTAAACGATCACCTAAAAAAGTTGTCTTTTTTTTGTTTTAAATTAGTGGGTTATTCTAACTACGAAATTCAAAAAGGTACTTCCAAATTATTCAATGAAAAATTAATCATGGTCTAAAGCAAATAGAATATAAAATCAGCAAAAATAGGGCGAGTCGCGTTTATAGTGGTCTGGTTCTATGATAAAAGGGAAACTACTCTTCATTAGGACTACCAATTCAATGAAAACGAAATGAGATGCCGTTTAACATCCTGGTTATCTGCACTACTTAGGCTAATAAAGACAAGCCTAGACGTTGATGTGCTCCTCAATGTGCTTGGGGCACATTTTAAGCAGAGAGAGAAATGGGGTTTAACATCCACTCGACACAAATCAGGTCATTTCGGGACTAACATATGGTTCAATTTTATTTCAATAAATCACTTGCCCGTAGGGGTCTTTAGCAGTGGAAGGAAAAAAAGAGGACCAGGAGAAAACCCACGAGGTTGGACAGGCGACCCTACTACAAGTGGATAATCCAAACCATGCCACTTGACTCAATGACAGACCTTATGACACAAAGCGCACACATTAACCATTTGGCAACCCAACCCCCATCAGATTTAAGGCAATAAGCAAACTAAGTTTATCACACATACTTGTATATATTTTTGTTATATCAAAAATTTTATAATATAAGATACAATATTTACAAAAACTGAATATGTATAAAACTCTGTATTTACAAATACCGACTATCACAGTAATGAATGAATTCAAAAAATTCTTATATCCATATTTACGTCAATCGTAAAATCAACATATACTGATTATCATTTGAGGGATTTTAATCCCTTACAATCTACAACATTGTAAAAGATGAATCTCTGAAAGGAATATCCATCCAAAAATGGCTAAATTCCATTCAGTATCAACAAAAATATCAAGGATTAACAATTTTGAAACATTCAGCATCCTGAGCGGACAAACAAGCAGCAGCATCGCTAACAAGTGTTAAGTAAAATCTTTTGACAGGCCGAGTTTAAATCCGATTGAATCCAAGCCAGGAGAATACATATGTACAGTAGATATTCTGATTTTTAGTTTTAATCAAATGTTAAAGATACATTATTCAAGAGCTAAATTTGCCTGTTGCAGGTCTTTCTTCAGGCCTTAAATGTTATATAAATTATTAATTAGACAGGACTCTAATCGACTCTCTAGATCATCGGATGGCTCTGATTTTATATAGATTAGAATGATTCAACCATTTAATGATTTAATTTAAAAATGGAGAAGCGAGACTACGTCTCGAATACACCAATACTGTGGTTATGATAATAAACAATCAATACACTCATCTTGTCAAAACTACAACAGAATACAGTAATTTGAATGAAATTTTCAATATATTCATTTTGCATTATCTATTTTTAAACTACATGTATTATAGCAAGAACGGCCAGCTCTTTATCTGAACCTTACATAATATATCTTTAAATAATTAATCTGAATATATTTTAGCATGTATTGAGACGTGAAAAATTAGATATTGTCTTAAAATGCAAATGACAATCAATGGCTTCAAGTGATTTAGGTTTTCATGAATAAAACTTCACATAATTAACAAATGCAAACTTATATATCACACTAATTAATAAAACTCCAGATAATGCTGATTATAAAACTCCAGATATTTACAAATGCCGACTTATATATCACACTAATTAATAAAACTCCAGATAATGCTGACTATAAAACTACAGATATTAACAAATGCTGACATATATCACAGTTATCATAAACTACACAGTATTAATAACATAATTAACAATATAAAAAATACTGATGGACAGGTCATAACTATTAATTATAATTATTACAATACAATAACAATTTAATTGTTTGTTGTAAGTTACTTCTATTTTAAAAGGCAACAATTCTATTTTATACACTCAATTCTATTTCAAAAGGCAACAGTTTTATTTTATACAGTTTTATTTCAAAAGGTATCTTTTATACACCCGGTTAAATCAATTCTGTTCACCTCTTTTTAAAGGTAAGTGGAGTCTAAACTTAAACATTTTGCCAGGTTCAATTTCTCCATACACCTTTCAAATCCAGGATTTATCAGTCTTTGTCTTTAATATTATTATAAAACCACATAAAATAACAAACAAACTCTTTGGGGCATCACACCTTGTTTAGAATTTGTGTCCAGCCAGGAAGAACCAGAACAGGAGTTCAGAGATAATTTTTAACAGATCCATTTACCAGAAGCATTGTAAATGAAGGATTGTTTTGTTCCTGAGCTTGGTTTATACTGAGCTGAAATTAAAAAAAATATTTGTAATTATGTGTTTGATAGCTTTCAAAATTATTTTCAGACAAGAATGATTGGGTGATCAGCTTGAGGCTCTGATTTAATTTTTATTTGAGAGAGAGAGAGAAATGGGGTTTAACGTCCACTCGACACAAACTAGGTCATTTCGGGACTAACATATGGTTCAATTTTATTTCAATCATTCTCTTGCGCGTAGGGGTCTTTAGCAGTGGGAGGAAAACGGAGGACCCGGAGAAAACCCACGAGGTTGGACAGGCGACCCTACTCCTTGTCACATACAACCGGGGATTCGAAACCACGCCAGTTGACTCAATGACAGACTTAATGATACAGCGCGCACATGCTAACCACTAAGCCATCCAACCCCCCCCAAATTTTTATTTGAAAGTATAATATTTGTAATGACCAGTAAAAATCAGATTATAGAGTCAAATTGCCTAATAATAAGCAATCCTGGAAATAAACCACCTGTCACTGAAAATGTTATACAACAATTCAGACTTTGTCAGATAAAAATCCTCAGTGCAGTGATGTAATAATAAATAAAACAGAAGTAAATTTATCCCGGTAGATTATATTTAGTATAGCACTGTCAAGGAAACATATCTTTATTACATGTATACTAATGATGATGATGATGATGATGATGATGATGATAAATAAATAATGGGTCTATACTACATGACAATAAAATAAAATAATTGAAATTTCAACAGGGTTCTTCCTTGTGCACAGATGAGAGCAAAAACAGACAATACTTGTCCACATTTCTTATAGTATGATCACCATTACTGGAGAATTATAAATAACAAAAAGGGAAATGAAATAAAAAAAATAGAAAATGGTGAATACCTGGTCCAGGGGACTGATAATTGTCACTTGATGTCCAGCGACTGGTACCAGAAACAAATGCTGCTCCGGACATGTAGTGTTTAGGATAACCTTCAAAATCTACGAGTTCATAACTACCAGGTCCGGGTAGAGGTGGGGTCTTTGGTAGAGGCATAGCAGGTGCTGATATACATAAATAATGTTTTCTCCTGTAAATATAACAACATTATAGATCTATAATCATGTATGATAATATATATATAATGGGCTTTAACATTCAGTTACAGATGCATTATGTAAGATAGATAATGACAAATTAAAATATTGGAAAATTCAGTCAAATTACTCCATTCTGAGCAAGGGCGTGGATTTGTCATTTTTTGGGGGGGGACGGACGAACCCTGGAACCTTTCATTACCAAACCAAAATAATAATTACGAACAGTTTACCAGTGCTATTTCGATGAAAGCTGTAACCAGGGGTAATATGATGACGATATAGTAAAATTGACTACCTGCAATTAAGGAGGAAGATATCGTGAAGATCAATTACTGTGGCTAGACCCAAGGCAGTGGTTTGATAGCCTTCAGAACGGGACATTCATAAACCTGAGAATCTGTCCTGGCGATCAAAATCATGGGGGGGACAGAGACCTATTCGTCCCCCCTTCTGATTCTGAGGGGGGGACCCATCCCCCCTAAATCCACGCCCATAATTCTGAGCAAAGCTATGACTGTTTAAAGATTGACAAGAAATAGCTTAAGTAATCTTGATTCTCATTACTGTTGATGGAGCTGCACTATTAAATTACCATCGGTAAAAGATATCCCAAAGATTACTTACGGGAAAATAACTTTAAGAGGCATGTTGTTATCTTCAGGTGAGAAATAGGTGCCTGGTCCAGGAACCTAAAAAAATAAAACATTTAAAGATACATTATGAGAGATTAGATAAAGAGCTGGCAGTTCTCACTATAAAAGTTAAAAACTAGATGATGTAAAGGGAATTTGCTGAAAATTTCAGTCAAATTGATCTACTCTGAACCAAGATTTTAGCGACTGAATTTTCTGCCTCATCATTACTAAATGCAGTACGATAAAAAACATAGTCTGGATTATCCATTTCATAATTAAATCATGAATGGAAGTCGAACAGCAAATCGGAACCTAATCCAATAAACATCACAAGCTAGCGATGACATCGAGAGTTGATTATGGTCGAGATAGGTTAATTAATGTCTAATTAATAATTTAGATAACATTTCAGGCCTAAAAAAAGACCTGCAATAGGCAGATTTAGCTCTTGCATAATGTATGTTCAATGTATTATTACACCTTTCTCTTGTAGGACATAGAGAATCATTATAATTTAATGGTCTCATAAGTATACTTGAACAAGTATTGCAAAATATTACAGCAGTGTTTGATGACGTCGTCATTATACCACGGAGACAAAAAATGTTGTTAGCTGTCAATGGCCGAAATATAGATGGTTGAAATAGTATTTGTAGGTTTCTCATCTATAGTCTTAATTCTTAAAGAGAGATCGTTGATGTGTATACATTACCGGTAGGCCCAAGTTAATTTAAGTAACTTACTAACCATATAGGGCATATAATATATCAGAGATTTTCCATGTAACATTTATTTTCAAATATGGCTGGCGTAATTAGTGTACAATTTATACTAATTAAATCTTTTGTTGAAATCTTTTGAAAGACATTCTATTTATTTTCAAACAAAATCTACATGGTAAGCTGTTATACTTGTTATTTTTCATTATATCATACTGTATAGCCGAAACTTAATAGTAAAACATATCAAGGTCACCTAATTTGGGAATGGCCATTTGAACAGGTATTATCAAATAGCTTTAATATTATTATGAAACTTACATCAGTTGGATTGGATCCAATCCTTCTTAATGTTCTGGATTTAAAACTGGATTCTGGTATTCTTGGATTACTATGAAGTATTTCATCCTTTACATTGTACTGCCCTGAAAAATAAGCCATTAAAATATCATGCCTGATTTATCTGTAAAAAGATGTGACAACTAAAAAATTGAGCGGAATATAATTCTGTTTAAAACTTTTTTCTTACAATAACAGAAATTTTTTAACTGTTTTCCCCAGACCCAAGATTAATCATTGATATTACTAAACACGATATTAAATGATTTTTTGTGAAAATAAAAATATAAATCACTCTTTCAGCAGACAGTTATGTATTCACCTTTGGACTGTCTGCTCTTTACTTTCATTGTAATTGTATTTATGAAACTCTGTTAGCTTATCAAGGTTTCTGTATCTTAAATCCTAAACTTTCTTTGTGCAAAATCTAATCACTTAGATCTTGTAAATGTTTTTGCCACTCACACTGACATTTTGGAAATGAAATGAAATGAGGTTTAAAGTCCTACTTCTCTACACTGACTAAGCTATTGAAGATGGGTTGACATTTTGAATTGTATCCCTTTTTTTCCATTGTATTTATGGAACATGGTTCTAGCTTATAAAAGGTTTCTGTAACTGAATCCTAACCTTTATATGTGTAAAATGTAATCACTTATACCTTGTGTGGTGTAATTATAGTAGGCCTATAACCAAATTAGTAGCAAATCTATGATCAAAATTAATTAAACATTGCTAGGGCTGGATTAAGCGTGTTGTGGGGTCATGGTCTAGTTGGCTTATGCTTTAATCTGGCCCTAAACTCTGCCTGGGCACTGGTAGAAAATTTTAAATAAATATAGCTAAATATATATCTTACATGGTGCTGGAAACTGTTTCGACTCGGCCACATTTATAATTTCACGTTTAGATCGAGATTTAAATGCAGCATCTGCACTAACATTATTACATTTTCCAACTTTTGATTTAAATATCTATAAAAAAAAAAAGGTAATAAATAAAAGAGAATGAATAATTTAAGAAAGAAAGATGTAACAATTTTTGCATAAAGAGTTTTTAGGATATATTATGGGAGATTCGATAACGAGTTGGCAGTGCCCACTATAATATACTATTCAAAAAAAGTAGGGGATATTTGATTTTGGGGGCATAATACTAAAATATGCAAATGACTACGAAAAAAGTCACTATAGAACCTAACAGAAGAAACATTTCCAGTTACATGTGACGCCCAAACGCACCAATAGCTACCGCATGGAATGCAGGTGATGCTTGGGATCATCATGGGGGTCCAACCCAAGATTTGCACGACTCTGACTTTGAATGTTACAGTCATTGTGGCATTGAATTCCAGGGTGGAAACATCAGTTTAATTGTTTTAGTGACCAGAAAACAAATTTTGATATGCGTCGGCTTACCCAAAATGAAAGGTTACGTGCCCTTGGCATGCTACAGATCGGCACAACACAGGCGGTTGTGGCGCGGACGATGAATGTTTCTCAGTCTGTCATAAGCAGGCTATGGTCCAGATACCGTGATACACAATCTGTACAGCACAGACCACGCTCAGGTCGACCAAGGGCGACAACTCAAGCCCAGGATCGATTTATCCGTACCTTGGCCTTGAGAAATCGTGTCATCACAGCAAATCAGATCAGCGCTCGTCTTCAAACAGACACCGGTGTGAGAGTGAGTGGCCAGACGATTCGGAATCGACTGCATAGGGGTCACCTTCGCGCCCGACGTCCTCGCGTGATCCCTTGTTTGAGAGATCATCACATTCAGGCAAGACGTCGTTGGTGTAGGGATCGTCAACACTGGGATAATCGACGCTGGAGCAATGTGATGTTTTCAGATGAGTCAAGGTTCACTGTTGATTTTTTGGACAGACGTAGGAGGGTGTGGCGTCGTCGAAACGAGCGCTTCCAAGACGTTAACGTCATCAGACATGATCGATTTGGGGGTGGTTCTGTTATGGTGTGGGGAGGCATCACTGTTGCTGGAAGAACGGCTTTACATGTTGTTGCAGGGCGTGTTACAGGCCAGTACTACCGGGACAACATCTTGGCAGTCCATGTTGTGCCGTTCGCACGACGTCATGGCCGCCGTTTCATCTTCCAGGATGACAACGCAAGATGTCACAGGGCCAGGATCGTTACAGGTTCCCTCCAACAACAGAACATCACCACATTACCTTGGCCAGCACTGAGTCCCGACCTCTCCCCAGTCGAGCATGTCTGGGACATGCTTGGACAGAGGTTACGTCAACGTCAACAACGTCCTGCCAATGTCCAAGAACTTGCTGCTGCGTTGCAACAGGAATGGGACAATCCGGACCAAAATGACCTTAGACGTCTCATTAGGAGTATGCCACGTCGGATCAATGCTTGTTTGGCAAACAGAGGAGGATTTACCCGTTACTGACTTGGTTGTGATGCTGTGGTAACTTTGCTGTTTGACCCCGGGTATCATTTTACCCTTATAATGGTCAGTCTGTGCCTTACTTAGTCTAACGATCATTTGGAATAAATCGATGAATGTGAACTTCATTTCATTTTGTCATTTGTTTCTTCGTCAGTTTCATTAGGTGACTTTAATAACACTTAAAAATCAAATATCCCCTACTTTTTTTGAATAGTATAGTTAAAAACTAGACCATACGGCCACTCCCCCAGTTTTTTTTTCTTTCTGTTTGCAGTTTGTTCTGTATTTTTGAGGCTGGCAAACTGTGGAATCATATCAGAATAATACCCAATAATCATTCATATTAATTAGTGAGACTGAGATACATACATCATAAGAATTTGGTGCAGGATTTCCTTTGACTCTGTTACTTTTTTGTGCTATGGGTTTTTGAAAGGTGCTTGTTGATCCCGATCTGTTAAAATCATGTCGATTTGATAACATATCTGGTAAACCATAAATACCTGGACCTGGTGCACTCGACACATCATTATATCGTAAGGATCTTTTTGACTGAAAATAAAAAGTAAAAGTTGCATTTCACTTATAAGTTTAAAAACATTTCTTTGTTGGTTCATAATCGATCAGGCATCAAACATTTCATCAATGACAATCCTATGAATTACCGGTAGATACAGTGTCATAACAGGAATAAGAGAACTACGGTACTAAGTCTGAAGAAAATTCACCATTTTTCAAACAACATACTGATCCAAATCTTTTTTCTGTCAAATCTACATAATATTCCAATTCAAAATAATTTTTTTCCAGACTCCAAAAACTATTCAGTATTTACCTTAGATGCGAAACTACCTGTGCCTTTTTTGGAAAAAGAGACTCCATCCTTGTCATACTGACTATGTCCTACATAATTACAGGGGGAAGGATTCTCAGACTGCAAACAAACAAAATATAAAAAATACAGTACAAAATGACTAGGCAATAATTAATATTATGATTTTATCTTATTTCCCCTTGTCAGTGGTGCAGGACGGAGGGCTTGAAAGGGACAGCTGCCTAGTCGTTCGGATGGTATGAAAAACAGAGGTGAGGATCCTGTGTATACATTGGCGTGCATGTTAAAGATCCCTTGGCAGTTGGAATTCGATATAAGAGTAGGTCATAGTGCCGCTGCCTGGGCAGAATTTCCCTTATAGTAAGTTATAGTACACTCTATAGCTTATACCTGTCTTCATTAGCCCAGTAGGAGCAGAACAGTAGGACGTTAAACTCCATTTCATTTCATGATTTTATCAATTATCAGCAGAACAGTTTCACCCCAAAATAAATAAAGCATCTTTATACATACCAAGAAAGCATTGAACTGAAACCTTTTGGCTTTAGAACTGAAACCCTTTCTATCAGAATTATCTGTAACAATGGTCTGATATTTACTGGGAATTGACGAATTAGCTGCAACTACTCCATGTCCTGAAATGCATTTTTGGAGGGTTAATTGATATCATTTACAAAACCATGATTGATAGTCTTTATATATAGCCCGTTCAGACGCTTAAGTTACACTGGTTTAAAAACCTCGGGGATGGTTAAACCAGTTTAACTTGAGCGTCTGAATGCAAATGTGGGGCAAATAAACCAGTTTAAAAAACCCAGCTTGCGACCTGTCTTCGAGAAGGCTTTTTATTTTAAACTGGTTCATCTTAGCCGTCTGAACAGGTTGGCTTAAAAACCCTGGCTCCAGCTTGCTTTGAGCATGTGCAGTTAGTTACATTCCCGTGAAAATATCGGGGTCAAATAGTGCCAATGTTATCGAAAGCGTGCGAGAATCGAATAAAGAATATGAAGCTACCCATGCGTAGTTAACTCTAACCTCCGACCGAAGAGGTCAGAATAGTTAAACTGGTTTGGCTTATAGTACGTGTGAACGCAACACGATGCTGTCTTAAAAAAAACCAGCGTTTATGAACTGGTTTAAAACTAGGTGTCTGAACGGGCTACTAGTCTAGGTCAATCCAGTTGTGTTGGGTAAGAATAACTGTCATGTGAAGGCTACCTTTTTTCATAGCTCATAATTTTCGAAGAGCTTTTCAGATGGTGATATCTTAACAGATGGTGATATCTTAACAACTTATTATAACACCTCAGATTTTTATGGTTTGTAATTTATAAGGTGAGGATTAATTGGAATCCAATAACAGATGATAGCTATTGCCAAATACAAACAACTGACCTCCTGTGTCTTATGTATGCAATGAATTCTCCTCTGACTCCCAAGACGTGACGTAAACATGACCTGGTTTGATTGAATTTTAATAGCACTGAGCAGGGCATTCCTTCGCAATTACAATGTTTGAGAAGGATTTGAAGCATAAATATGACAAATTAATTAGTTTCAATATGTTTTTGGTCCATATATATTATACCATTAAATCACCCAGTTTGTACGCGGGAACCCATCTTTAAAGGAGCTAAATCGCTAACATTTGGGACCTAGAAATTGATAAAAGTGGGTCGCAACGCATATAATACTGTAATATGAATGTATATAAACTGATTTACATTCAATGGTTTCCGTTTTTACTCCAATTTCAAATCAGTTATGTTCGGCGAAATTCGCCAGCAGTCTCAAGCGAGTGCAAATTTCTAGCGTCTGGTTATTCTAGTCTACATACGCCATTTGATTTGGTACAATGTATGTGTCTAGCCTCGTCCCTCGAGTCTCTTGATACAACTGGGGCTGAAGCGCATTATGGTACACGATTCGTGTACCAATGGTAAAATGTTTATTTTGTCTTAAATATTGGATATCAAAAGCCCATCTTTTTCCGGTAAGATCACAACATGAATGTTGATTTAATTTGACAAATAAATCGTGTTTTCAATGTTGAAGATTTTGGATGATATTGAGTTAGAGACTTAGCTCCTTTAATGGAGAAAATTTAAGCAATTTTAATAGAATATCAATTGACAATGTCTCTACAACAAATATTAAAAAGTACTGCTTCATTATTATATATACCCTTGTGTAAATGTCCTGAAGGGTGCTTGGCATGCAATCTTTTTACAGCATCTTCATCCACAACTTTGATGCTGTCGGCCATGTTGTTAGTGGCTAAGTACATCCCAGCGGAAAACACTACGGTACAAAATATAGTTCATGAAGTAGTGACATCAAAATAGTGTTTTTTTAGTCCACAATGGTTAAACAGACCACAAAATCGTTCTATTACATACAATTGCAATCAAGGAAAACGTTAATTAACAAATCATAATCGGATTAGTAATTATGTAAGCACATAAAATACTGCTCAGTAATACAAACAAGCGATTTTGGTTGCTACGTTGGAAAGTGCACTCGTCCAAATATAGGGGTAATGGCAAGTGACAAGTTTTATAAAGTTAATAAACTTTTTACGAAAATTATCGCCTTGTTTTAAAATAGCACTCTGGGTTACCTTCCATTACAAAAATGACTGGTTTCGGCGTTTGAAATAAAAAAAAATCATTTAAAGTTTTTGTGATTCCAAAAAATGAGTAAACAGATAATTAAATCCCCCCTACAAAATAAATTGTTTTCGGCCAATGAAATGCATCGCGTCTGTATTACCTAATTTTGATTGGCTACACTTGCAAAGTGCGCGATTTTATGAAAGATTTTCCCGAACTTTTGGTTATTGGCTCGCTTATCCTCAACCTGTAAACAGCTGTACAAAATTTTTCTTGAATTTTATATTTTCAAACGTTCTCACAAAGTACTATTTTATAAACAAGCATCTAGATTTTTACGAAACATTACATTACCAAGATGAGTGGATTGGCATTACAGATGAAAAACGTCAAGATAAACGACGAAAATGAGGTAATTTGTTCACTTCTGCCGGTATTTCTTCATTCTTTCACTTATAAATATTATGGCGGGAATGAATGAACACACGTTGTTTACTTGGTAAGCCAATATTTCCAAATATATTCCAGTTATCTGATGTTGAATAAGTAAATGAGAGCTAACTTTTTAATTTTTTAAAAATTATTTTCAAAAACCATTTTCACACTTAGAATAGATGTAGAAGTTAGAGCGCCAGAAGTACAATGAGCCTGCCTCACATAGTCATAACATACTGTCATATATAGTCTCTAGTTTTAGACTTTGCAGTACATCTAAATCTAAGTACTACTTGCTGCTCTGTTGTATTATTGGCTAGGAATGTAGCCTAGCAGGCAAAGAATTTTTAATTTACAATTGCATTACGGTATTAAAAAAATTATTTGTAATTCAGAAACCTAAAAATCTCAAATTCACAAAAACAAAAAATAAAAAAGAATTCTTTCTTTTTCAGAAACCGAAAAATCTCCAAAATTCACAAAACACAAAGAAGGCCAAAGTTTTAGGAGAAAGTCAAAAGCAGAATATTATCAATGTTGACAAAAAAGTAAGCTAAAGATTTATTATATTTTTCATTATGCCTGACGGTTTTTGCTATAATAGGCCTAGTTTAAGTTACAAGGCGCTAAAGTGCAATAGCGCCAAGTTACAAAATAGATCAATGTAACAGGAATATGCTGAGCCGAGAAATGCTCAGATGGCATCTACATGTAGTTGTTTTGGTCTTGTCATTTCTAATTGATGCACATAGTTTATATAGCATTTCAGACCTAAAAGTCCTGCAATAGCAGATTTAGCTCTTGCATCATGGTATATATATTTAACTAGTGTTTTATTTCAAATTCTACCCATATGTAGCACAATGATACTTAAGTGTAGTGTTTATATTTTTGTTACAGGAAAGCATGAAGCCAATTGTCAAAAAACCTACTAAAAAATCCGGAAGAAAAATCAACATCAGTGAAGAACCTTTATTGAAAGACAATCCTAATAGATTTGTTATTTTCCCAATACAGTATCATGATATCTGGCAAATGTACAAAAAAGCTGAGGCTTCTTTTTGGACTGCTGAAGAAGTTGATCTTTCCAAGGATCTCGTACATTGGGATCAACTAAAAGCAGATGAAAAACATTTTATCTCTCATGTTTTAGCTTTCTTTGCTGCCAGTGATGGTATTGTCAATGAGAATTTAGTAAGTTGTATAATTGTTCTTGAAGTATATCCCTTTCCAAAAGAGTGCTATTGTACATTTCTGTTCTGATTTCTTAACTTGATTTTACTTTCAAGATAACTTTAGAACATAGTTTTAACTTTAGGTTAGATGATGTAAAATCTCTACAAACATAATAATCAGTTTATTTAATTTTATTGTTTGGAAACTAATAGATTGGAGAAGTCCACATTAAGACTAATTATAATTTCTGATGATTTGTTTTGTTTTCAGGTTGAGAGGTTTAGTAAAGAAGTTCAAGTCACAGAAGCCAGATGTTTTTATGGATTTCAAATTGCAATGGAAAATATTCACAGTGAAATGTACAGTTTATTAATAGACACATACATCAAAGACCCTAAACAAAGGTAACTAAATTAAAATAAATCATTATTTGATATATTTAACCAATGTGTTGTGTAGGTCATTGTTTATTACATTAACACTGGCCATAAACTGATTATATAATTATCTTTATAAGACTGTATTATTGATCAGCTGATAATTGCTGGCTGTGTAAATTTGGTGAAGCATTGGTTACAATGGATGTAATGAAATGTATAATTAAAAATATATTGATTTATTATTACAGGGACTTTTTATTCAATGCTGTAGAAACATTACCATGTGTAAAGAAGAAAGCTGATTGGGCCCTGACCTGGATTTCAGATGAGGAAGCTGATTATGCTGAACGAGTTGTAGCTTTTGCAGCTGTGGAGGGAATTTTCTTTTCTGGATCTTTTGCTTCTATATTTTGGTTGAAGAAGAGGGGTATCATGCCTGGTTTAACATTCAGTAATGAACTTATTAGCAGGGATGAGGTATTTATTACACCAACTAATGTTATTTCAATGAATTTCAGTATTTTGCCCAAAGTGACAATCATTTTAAGAGACAGAATGATCTTCAATTCTTTTATATAAAAAGTTTCCCACAAGATTTTTTTTTGTAAATCAAAATTTCTTTTTTTCAGGGTCTTCACTGTGATTTTGCTTGTTTAATGTACCGTCATCTTAAAAATAAATTAACACAAGAGAGAATATACTCCATTATAACTGATGCTGTAATGATTGAACAAGAGTTCCTTACAGATGCCTTACCATGTAAATTAATTGGAATGAACTGTGATTTAATGAAGCAATATATTGAGTTTGTAGCAGATAGACTTTTAGGTGAATTAGGCTGTGATAAGGTAAGTTATTGGGAATTTCTATTATGTTATAAGGCCTTTTAATGTAAATGGGATGGGTTCTTGAAAATAGAAAGTACTTACGAATCGGGGCCCCGAGTTCGCAAAGCATTCTCAGACTTCAGTTCAGAATTTACTCAAAATGTTTCGCCTTATTTTAACTAAAATATAGCCCTTTATAAAACTTTTGTTTTAATGTATCAAATACACGAATAAGGAGCGAAGTTTCGTGTTTCTTGATCAAAGATATTTTTCATAAACACTGATTGAAAGTTGAGTAAATTCTTAACTTCAGTCTGTCTGAGAATGCCTTGTGAACTCGGTGCCTGTTTATTTATGGAATTGATTCACAATCACATCTTGAATGTAAATTAATTTGTTGGGTAGATTAAGAGTAAGACCTTGAAATTTGTGAGCTGCTTCAGTCATTGTATTGGCTGTGAAGATCCAAAAGAATTTTTCTTATGCCCATCCTTCACATACCAGGGATAGCATCTACGAGGCTATCATGGAAAGTGCCTAGTCAGATGGAACAAACTCCAAAGGTCTGCTCATGTACACATAAGATTTCTTGACTGTTGGAAATACATGTAGGAGTGCAAGTGGACAATGTTCTACCTTTAAATCCATGGAAATGAATGTCATGTTCGTCTCCAAAGACCAAACTGTTGACAAGACATTAAATTCTATTCACAAGAATTTTTTGGAAATCGAAGATATCTCCTAGGGTTTTTTGGAAATCGAAGATATTTCCTAGTTGCTATCAGAAGAAAGCTACCTTTTTTTTTCAAGCTGTTTATGTGCCATTTTGAGATGAGGATGAAAAGAGTTAACTATGATCAGATCATTTATAATTAATTTTTTGTTAGTATACATGTACTTGTATTTAAAAAATACCACTATTTGTATCTTTTCAGTATTACAATTCAGAAAATCCTTTTGACTTTATGGAACAAATTTCCCTGGAAGGAAAAACTAACTTCTTTGAAAAACGTGTTGGAGAATATCAAAGAATGGGTGTTATGTCTGGTAGCCAAAATAACCACGAATTCACATTAGATGCTGATTTTTAAAACATGAGAACTATTTTAAATGTTTTATTGTCATCATTGTTAACTGTCTTATATAGCACTCGTTTTAATTTATCACGTTTTATAAGATTTGTTTTATCAATGTCTGAAATCTCATGAAAGAATAGTAGCTACATGATGTATTTTATGAACTCATTTTAAATAATTGTAGAAAAATGTAAAAAAAATTGTACATGTTTGTGAATTCTATTTATTGTAAATTGTATTAAGTGTGTGTAATGATTTTTATAATTTTGTCTCTCATTGTTCATAACTCATTCATTATTTCACTCACTTATTGTCTTGTACTATTTTAGTTGATTTTATTTTGCTATATATGATCGTTCCAATAAATCATCTATTGAATTTATAAAATGTCTATTTATTTCAACTGGATCTTTAAAATTTGGAGAAACACCCCCACCTTAGATCCTACTTGTCATGTACAAGTCTCGGAATTAGACATGATTTTCTGGATAATCGTCCTAGTCAATGAACACCATTTTTGTGTGTGAGGGGGGTCCTTGAAAATCGTCAATAATTTGCGATATGCATTACATGTACAAAGTGTCAACCAGATGTTCATATTATTTTTGGGATCATCACTCCATTAAGACATCTGGAAATAGGTTGGATGAATATTATTCTGGGTCCTGCACGTGGGCATAATGATACTCTTCCTAGATAATGTATCCATTGAAATACAAGATGTCCTTTGGTCAATCATGTAAGGCTCCCAATTTACTCCCCATCCCCTTTTACACAGTACACATTTGTGTATATTTAACTGAACCGAACCTATTTCAAAATTTATTTGGAGCTTCAGCTGTCACAATATGAAAACTTGTCTGTTAATTGATATATAATCAATAACTGGATCCTCAATATAGCAGGGTTCCCGCGGTCCTTGAATATCCTTAAATTTAAAATTTCATTTTCAAGGTCTTGAATTTCGCGGAAATAGGAAAATATCCTTGAATTTCAGTTGAGATCCTTAATTTTGTTTCCAATGTCTTCAATTCCTTTTAAATATGAGATTATAACGATAGTTGGTAATGTTTTGGTTTTTTTTAAGATGAAAAATTGTAACTGTAGGCTAAAAAATGTCCTTGAAAATCCTTGAATTTGACGTATATTTATCCTTGAATATCCTTGGAAAAATGTTTGACGAAGCCACGGTAACCCTGTATAGTTAGTGCAGATGTTGCAAGGAATAACCTTATATATTCAAGAGGTTAAATCGCAAATATCTGGAACCTAGAAATTGACACAAATGGGTCGCAACGCATATGTTATATGAATTTACATTAACTGTTTCCGTTTTTACTCTTTAATTTCAAATTGGTTATGTTCAGCGAAATAGACAAAGTCTCAATCAAATAGCAATAATTAGCATCTGTTCATTCCAGTCTACACCGATAGTATTTATTGCGCATGCTCTCCAGATAAGACTGGGTGTCACTGTTTGACATGACTTGTGAAATGTCTAGCCTCGTTCTTTGAGTCCCTGGTTACAAATGGAGCTGAAGCGCATTATGCTACTTTGTCTGCGATATCACCTCGGTGGAAGCGGACGTAAAATACAACAAACTACTACTATAATGCTACACAATTTGTGTACCAATGGTAAAATACAAACTGGGTGATTTGATGATATATTTGGACTAAATACATACTCAAACTAATTAATCATAATTTTGCTTCAAATCCTTCTCAAAAGATTGCATTCATCAGGAAATACCCCTGCTATAAAAAAATCTATCGAAAGAAGTCCTGCTTGTGTCACATGACTTGGCTGATGGGCTACCTAGTAATGGATGCCAAGCCAGAGAATACATTGCATATACCCCCCCATCACACACACAAAAAGGAGTTCATTGACTAGGACCAATTATCCAGAAAATCATGTCTAAATAGAAGTCTCAATTCTTGGATTATCCATTGCCCAAGTCTTTACCTCAAACTGTTGTACAATCAAGTTTATCAACATATACATCAAGCACTCACTAAGCTGGGAGATCAGACAATCTTCACGTGCAACCTTTGACATCAGTCAAGCAGACATCCCTAATTGTTGGATTGTCAGTTAGGGAAACCCTTACATTTTTGGCCTGTATGCGGTCCATGGGTGTTTTTCAGGGAATCCAGTATTTTTCTAATAAGATTGGATGTTTCTATTTTCCATATATACCAAGATTGCCATACTTTTATTTATTTAATTGACAAATAATTCATGCTTTCAATGTCAAAGACATTAGATGATACTGAGTTAGGAGACTTAGCTACTTTAAATCCAGTGAATACAACCAACTTCTAAAATCCCAAAGAAAGACTGGTGTTTTTTTTAGTAATAATTTTATTTCAAACACAGTCAATATTACTGGTGAACAGATCACGAAGCAAGAATACATCAAAACAAAAAAAATCTTTTAAAATAACAGTTCTTCTTTATGGAATGTTGACTAGAAACAAACTATTAGAGAGCTACAAAACATGCAATTAGTTGTAAGAGGTCTATACTTTAAAATTTCAACAGATGTAATATTTGGAGGTATGTGGTTTCATTATTAAGGGGATTTTCTATGTTAAAATTAAAAATGTTTTATGCTTTTCAATAATAATTTTAAATTTTTTTTTTAAAAACCAAAATAATAACAATGTAGGGTAACTAAGAAGGAAAAATAAAGGATAGCTTCACAAAAGCAAGGCCGTATATACCATATGCAAGGTCTGCACTAGTCTAATCGGTAGCTTGATTCCTAGAAAAATCTAAAATCCATTTTCATGCTTCCTCTAAGTCAAGATTATGTCACAGTAAAATAAATGCCAATATTTCCATAATTGGCATGGAGACCAAGATCTACTTGCTAATATACACAAGATATTTGATCTAATTTATAACAAGACTTCCTTATGAATTCAATGAGATAATTCTATCTTAAGTTGAAATAGACAGATCAAAGCTGTTTTTTTATAGGAACCAGGCCCTGCCTTATACATCAAATCAAACTGCGGTCCCAATTTAAAAAGAAATGTTTTCATCTCCAATATTGGTATGCACCACGTTCCAGAACATGTCACTACATAATAATAATACAATATAGGTATTATGACAATATTATTTTTTTTTTTATACATTATTAATATCACAGTCAATATGTTTAAAAAGAACATTATATTTCATATTAAAAATGTTCTATTTCAGTTTCATAGTCAAGAATTTTATAAAGAGGGGTCTCTGAACTTAAATCTTATTAGTTCAAATATTTCATATTCTTCAAAGATCAAATACCCTTCTTCAGCTCCCAGCCCCCAAAGGGTGTCCTCATGTCCCCTGGCAGACCCATCTGACTATATCACTGATTACTTTTGATACAAGTTTATACGTGTAATATTATCTACTACTTAGGAGTAAATATAAATATCAGGGCCCACATTTATCAACCCGAAAAAATTCTATGGAAGGTTAAAAGTACTGTTATCCTGGTTACTATAACAGACTAAGTGAAAAATCAACATTAACCCTGCTTTTATTTATTGTAGGAATATTTTTAACAGTCTGATAAACATGTGCCCTGAATCCCGATTCTTACAGAATTCATACAGACACAATTAGCTGCCATTCAATGTGTTATTGTCTGCTCATATATTCCTCTCAATATTTTCTATGTATGAGAGCACTTATGGTCTCATCTGTTTTCTCTTGGATATTTTCCATTTGTGAAAACAATTCTGACTCATTCTATGAGATATTTGACAAGGACAGGATTTCTCCTGTTATTGTCCTGGCCCACTTACAGACTATCCAAATTCATGAGGTTTAAAAGTTCAAAATTTCAATGGATTACTTAAATTCAGTGTATTTAATTGTAACATTTCAACATACTTTAGCAATCCATATAAATTATGTTTTGTGTTTTTTAATGATGATCATTGCTCTTGTTTCTATGGCAACAGAAAAGTTCTTGTTTCTGTGGTAACAGAATCACAATTGTACTGAATATTCAAAACAATAACATGAATACACTCTGTAGTAACCTACCAAAATGTACATAAATAGTTACAAGTTTAGCTTTAAAACATAGAGAGGTATACATTCATAGGCCACATGTTATCTTAAAATGAGGAATATTTTGTGGTCAAAGGGATTTTAACGATATATAATTCCACATAGAAATAGAGTAAAAACAACATTCATTACATAAATATACTCATTCATACAATATACATCACACACAAAAACTTCCAAAAACTATTTTAAAGTAGCACTAATGTTCCTTAATATTCTTCAAATAAATCTATTATTCCTCTTAAAACCTTGTAACTTGTGTGTTAAATCATCAACATCATGTTACAAGTCGTAACTTTAAAGTCAGACACAAAAACAGGTTTCATTCACATTCTCATAAGTTCTAGCCTATGCAGTATTATTACTTCTAGGTCAGAATCATTACAAAAACAAAATTATTATACATGTATTCCAAATTGTGCATATATTTTTGTAAATATATATGTGTATAATACATTTTGTCTACCCTGACTACCAATACTATATCTACAAATGTAAGTGTAAGCTGAAGGGCATAAACCTTTTTTTTTTCAAAATCTCAACCTTAGAATTCAAAACTTGTATCCAATCCTTTTGTTTTCTACTGCCATAAAAAATAGAATTAAAAAAATTTGCAACTAAAATTATGCTTAAACCCATTTTTAAATGGTTTTGATAAAATTAGGTCCAATTGAAAATATTAATAATTATAATATGAATTGCATATTCTATGTTTGAGCACTAGCAGTTAGAGATTGAAATCTGAACAAAAGTTGAGTTCAGGAAAGAAAAGGTATATGTCCCTAGGCCCAGAAATACTATGGAATTCATGCCTTGGACAAATATAGGACTTATGACCATTCAATACGATATATATACATTACATTATGGAAGTTTAGTATTATTAGTAAAAAACACCATATATATTAACAAGTGTTTTTCTGTCAGATTTAAAGGAGCGGTCCAAGATATACTTTAGTGAATAAAACTTGGGGTGAAAATCTGACATCTGACAAAATACAATTTCTTATCGGAATCTTCGCACTTGACAGGAAATAGTTTCTCTATCAGATAAATATGCTGTTGTTTTGGACAAATTTTTATATCATGTGTAAGCAGTTTATAATTTGAAATTTTTCTATAATAAGTATTTACTTTTTATGATGGCTATAGTTTTCTTATTTTTATATAATCTAATTCAGCTATTGCATTCTTATATAAATTCTACAAATTGTGTGACGAATCCAACCAAAACACAAGAATCGGTACTCGTATTTCTTTGATATGTTGCATTGTTTAAACCAGGCTATTGGATATGTTCGTTTATTTACTAAGGGCTATTTACAAGAGGACAGAACAACATTATTGCTGTGTACATTGATGAGAATGAGTTCCTATACCAGTCACCCGGATCTGTTCAACAAAACTTAATTTGTGTTCTACAACACTGATTTGGAAATAAATTCCTGCTATTCCAGTCATCCAGTGACTTTTCTGGCAAATCTGACTGGAATACAAATTTTTTCCGAATGACAATAATGGATAAAACATAACATTTAAAAATTCAACCATTTAAAATATAACATCAACCTTCCACAAATATACATCAACTTTGTTTTGGGATTTTAAATTCTAAAAAGAACGTAAAAATTATGAATAAAATGGCATAACAATGAAGTTCATCCTACTTTCATTTTAAAACATTACAAAAATATATGTATGATGTCACAGCATTGATGGAGTTCAAAATATAATAAATCCACTCATTGGTTAAAACTTTCGAATTGGCTATTTAAAAATGATTGTCAGTAACTGCTTTCTTTTTTTAAAATAGCAAGTCATGTTGTTAGCTGTTGGCGCTGTAGCATGATGTGTCTTATGATGTGTTCTATAGGATGAAATGTTTAAAAGAAGCCAGCGTCTTGGCTGGACTGTGGTCATGTTGGTATTCCTTCACCTTCTTCCTCTTCACAGCATTTAGACATTTTACACTTACAACACAAAATACACGGTGCTGCTAACAGGAGAAATGGTGAGGCTACCAATAATAAAACACCAAATCCAGCAAAAATACCCACTACCTGGAACATAAAACATTAAAACTTATATTCTAGCCCAATCTAATTAAAACATAAATCCTATTTCGTTTTTTATAGTTCAAAATTTCATTTTACTTGTCTTCACAGCACTAGGATCTAGAAGAGTTATTATATAACCCGCGTCCCTGTTGATGTGAGGGATTAGCCAATGAAACGGTCTGTTATGGCGAGTTCCTGTCATGCGGTGCACAGAACAGTGGTTAACCCACTAGAAACGCTGATTGATTAATCAATGTAATATGTCATAGGGTCAAAATCTGCTAGTGCGACCCCTGATGCAACCTACCACTACAACCGGTCAGATCTTCATGTGTAGGCCATCAAAAGTATAAAAAAACGAAACGAAATTTAGATCTGTATTTTAATCAGATTGAGAGTCTGGCCCATTAGCACTGTACAGAATTTATATAAGTAACTACTTTAATAAGCCCAGAGTATTTCAGCCAAAATTCATAACACAATATTTGTATGCTCTGTATTGCAATATCTCAATATATTGCAATATGTGAAAATTGTGCAATATTTTAGTCATTTATCAGAGTATTAGACATTTTTCGTCTAATTGTTTTTTTAGAAATGCACAGAAGGCATATAATTATAAGGTAACAAATGGGTTTAATTTAATTTAATAGTGCAAAGAAATGAAATGGGGTTTAGCGTCCTACTGTTCTGCTCCGACAGGGCCTACTCTTATATAGAATTCCAGCTGCCAAGGGATCAATGTTGGGATTTCAAAATTTTTCTTGTTAGTCATTTTTACAGAAAATAAAGGGACATAACTCTTTTTGTTATTTAAGTAGGCAGTTTTAGACCACCCACAAAAATCACATGTCAATAAAATATTCAAATTCGTACATAATAAAAAATAGGTGCACCTCATTATTTTTCATATTATTTTATATTTAATTTCCGTATGGTATTCAAACTTATGTCAGTAATATTCCTACAAAATTATGTGTTGTCGTAATAAGATAGAATGAAAGCGTGCTGACTCCTGCCAACCCGTACTATTTATCAAATTCACGCCAGTAATATTCCTCCAAAATTAACATATTTTTCAGGGTTTAGGTAGACACTTTTTTCAGCATAAGTCCAGCATTCGTCTTACATGCCATTTCGACTAATATACAGATGGAGGTAAAAAAATTTGCAGTAACCGTTGCTCCCAAAATTTTTGCTGTAACCGTTGCTCCCAAAATTTTTGCAGTAACCGTTGCTCCCTGATAGTCTATAGAGCGATTGATATCATCTGCTAAATAATAGTGCTCGACTCTGATCGCGCTCGCTATCGTGTAAAACAATTAATTACTTTCACTACAATCAAATTCGGAAAATTTGTCGACATTTCTCAGCTTGTTTATATCATTTTCAAAAATATAAACCCCATTCAAAATATTATCATAAACCTGAGAATATGCATCAAAATAGAATCTTTTCTCCGACATTTTGCATGTTATAATTGTCACGATTACATCTCTCATAATGTTACTCGTCTCGCAAGATTTCTACTTTAGTTTTCAGTTATTGTATTATAATCACATGCTTGTGTGTGTGTGTGTGACAAGTTAATGGATATAATTGGATATGTGATATATATGACTAGTTTTTAGATGTTGTCGACTGATATCAAGGTGATTAAAATGTCCGTCAATGGAGAAACCCCAAGTTAATAACACAGAGCAAGTGTATAATCATTCTTATTGGATTGATACATAGTCTGACAAAGGAGAAGCCATGACCTCTGTTCAGGATTGGATTGATGAACTGTCTGACAGAGGATTAAGTCAGTCAATCAAGACAGATTAAGTAGATAATCAAATTAAGTATATAGACGGTATCACACGGTAAATACCTTGATCTCTTAATTACTTAATCAATCCAGCCTATTATCAACAATAATCGGGTTTAGTGTGACAGATATACACTTAGTACACTATATTGATTTAGGAATTTTGAATATTATTCACCATGTCTTGATGTTTGATTTGGGCATATTTCTGTAGGACGTTTGGAAAATAGCGTCACACTTGTCTGGAATATAGGGGAGAAATTCCATCACTGCAAGGGATCTTTAACATGCACACCAATGTATACACAGGACTAATATTGAAAAGACAATGAATAGGACATCGACATGATTATTCCAACAATCTGGTCAAATAATTACTATGCTCTGTCATATACAGAAAAATTGTTTGGAAAAGTTAAGGATATTTTGATAATTAACTAATGAAATATTTGTAGAAAAGAAAAAAGTATCATTCATTCAAATGATGATTTGACTTTGTGATACATCTCAATTTAATGCTGTTCCATAAAAATCAAAAGACAGTCAGAAGATAAAACTAACCTGTGTTCTGTGCCATATAACAGATGCTCTGGAATGTCCAAGTTTATTTTTACATGGTCCTTTATCATAATGACGTAGTAAGAAGTCATCCTACAATAAAGAAGAGTTAGATAAAACAGCTTTTCTCCATTATTACAACCATAATCTTTTTGAAACCCTTGCACATGCCACCTTCAACTAGATGTGACTTAAAGATACATTATGGGAGATTAGATAAAGAGCTGGCAGTTCTCACTATAATAGTTAAAAACTAGATAATGTAAAGGGAATTTACTGAAAATTTCAGTCAAATTGATCCACTCTGAACCGAGATTTTAGCGATTGAGAGAGAGAAATGGGGTTTAACGTCCACTAGACACAAACTAGGTCATTTCGGGACTAACATATGGTTTAATTTTATTTCAATAATTCGCTTGTGCATAGGGGTCTTTAGCAGTGGGAGGAAACCAGAGGACCCGGAAAAAACCCACGAGGTTGGACAGGCGACCCTACTCCTTGCCACGTACAACCGGGGATTCGAAACCACGCCAGTTGACTCAATGACAGGCCGTATGATACAGCACGCATGTGCTAACCATTCGGCCATCCAACCCCCCCTTTAGCGATTGAATTTTCGGCCTAGCCTCGATCATCATTACTAAAGTCTGTACGATAAAAAACATAGTCTCGATTATCCATTTCATGATTAAATCATGAATGGAAGTCGAACAGCAAATCGGAACCTAATTCAATAAACATCGCAGGCTAGCGATGATATTGAAAGTTGATTATGGTCTGGATAAGTTAATTAATGTCTAATTAATAATTTAGATAACATTTCAGGCCTAAAGAAAGACCTGCAATTGGCAGATTAGCTCTTGCATAATGTACAAGATGTAAACTCTTTGTGTTCCAAGATAAGAGAGATAGTCTTAGAGAAATTGGGTTTAATGTCCACTCAACACAAACTATGTCATTTTGTGCCTAACATAGGGTTCAATCCCGTGGGAAGAAACCAACAAAAACCACAGGTTGGACAGACGACTGTACTCCTTGTCACATGTGGGATTGATACCATGCTATTTGACTCAATGACAGACTTTATGATCTAAAACGCATGTGTTAGACCATTGAGTGATCCAAACCCTTCCAATAATAACAATTGCAATATGGAGGAATTATCTGCTTTATTTTTATCATACCGTATTTTAAGGTTTTTAAGTCGATTTGGAAGTATATGTTGAATTGTAGTATCTTATGATTTTCTCAGACCCCCTTCCATAGACAAGTCGAAGCAATGTACAATACAATACAATACAAGTATAGACACCCTGGGCGACCTTCAGTTATAATTTTTTCGCAACTAGTAGTTGGAACTAGAAACCTAACGCAGATGGTTTTGACCACTGTCTGTTCAAAGTAGGCTGCCCATCATCACCGAACTTGATCATAACCCTGGAAAAAAACACTTAAGCTCAAGGAAGGTATATACATCTCTCCATGGAGGATAATGAATTGCTTAATAAACAAATAATACCTTCATGAAATTAAACTTGCGCGACTCAAATTAATTTTTAGAGATAAAAAAATTCCTAATAATTTAACATTACTTTTTGCATAGCACAAATATAGAAATAATGCGTAATTTTTAGACTTACATAGATTCAAACATAACAAACGAGACAAAAAATATCTGCTCATAGAAGTAGCAACCATTTAAAATTATTTCAAGTCTTCTTAAAATCATATGCTAAACAAAGAGATTCAGTCTAAATATTCTATACTTATGTTTCATCGACACCCGCCATCTTGGAACTACTTTGACCATGACACGATAGCATGGTTCATTATGTTCGGACTATGGTTCAGTTAGTTTGACCATAGTAAAAAAATCACGATAACCGAAGGTCGCCCTGAAATATGTTTTAATTTGTAAAATAAAGAGTGTGTACGTACGTCTAACGATGAGAGACAATACCAACAGAAGACATGTTTACACCTTTTACACATCATCTGAGCACAGCCATCATTTCTTTCTATAGGCACATGGCATACTGGACAGCGTTTGATTCTCGCATCTTCAGCACTACTAAATGGAATTCTGAAACAATTTGGTAAATAATAAAAAATAGTTGATTATTCTACATTTAATAATCAAAATACCAACTGTAATTAATCTCCACACTTGGAATTAACTGAATTAAAAAGAGCCATCAATAGATTTTATCAGATACCTATAGATGGCACTGGCTTGTTTGTCAGCAAAGGATATTGAATGCTTCAAATTTTCTATTCATCACATCTTTGTAAATACCTTAGCTAACCTAAATGAATCATTTTTGGATAGATATTCCTTTTAAGTCTCTTGGGAGCTGGATGGCCAAATGGTTAGCATGTGTGCGCTGTATCATAAGGTCTGTCATTCAGTCAACTGGCGGGGTTTCGATTCCCCAGTTGTATGTGACAAGGAGTAGGGTCGCCTGTCCAACCTCGTGGGTTTTCTCGGGTCCTCCGGTTTCCTCCCACTGCTAAAGACCCCTACGCACCAGCGAATTATTGAAATAAAATTGAACCATGTGTTAGTCCTGAAATTACCTAGTTTGTGTCAAGTGGACGTTAAACCCCATTTCTCTCTCTTTAAGTCTCTTATTACACAATATTGTATTTTGAGAGGGATTCAACCCCTTTCAAATGACAATCGGTAGCTTTAAGATAAAATTAACAAAAGGTTTTTGTTGTCAAATCTTAGTCTCAATCATTCCATTCTATATTGTCTAAGCAGCGACAATACAAACTGGAATAAGATTTTATCAGACTTAAATGATTTCAATAAAGCACAACTTTTGTAAGGACAATGCATAGAGTCCTTTGTATGTCTAGTAAGGCCTAACAAAAAATAAACCTACCCTTGATCATCTTGCTTTCCTCTTGTCATCGCTTCATCACAACTTTTAGATGCATGCCACTTTGACTTACATACTGAACAAAACTGAAGACCACACTGAAGAACAAATTTTAATTTTTAAATATGACATACAAGTGGATGTGATCATAACGGCCTCTGCGATATATAAACTACATACAGGGCAATAAAAAAATAATCTCCCATGTCAGATCCTGTATATTTATACATGTACGCCCACAGCTTTGTGAAAGAAAGGAAATGAAATGAGATTCAACATTCTTCTTTTCTGGGCTTATCTTTGTGAAAAGAGACATCAGGACTTGGTGAGTGCTTAATAATAATAATAATCTTTATTCATGTATTGGAGCCTTGCGCCCATAGTACAAATTAAGCATATTGAAGTGAAATTATGTACACTTATTTCAATTTTAATCATCTTTGGTGTTACACCATTAACTAATACTTTCTAGATTTATGAAAAACATATAGATAGATAGAGCAGTGCACACAGTAGAGATGCTCTCACAAAAAAAATTGTATACACAAAGGAAAAAATATGCAAATTTTGAAGACAAAAAAAAATGTCATAAACACTCTGAATCGACTACAATACGGTACCCGATGATAACGGTCAAGTTGCCATGATGTTTATTTATAGCAGAGTCTTGATTATTGAGTTGCTAAAATATCATTGAAAAAATGTACATTTGGTTGTTTGGGAGGAAAGGTTTCACAAATCCAAATTAGCTGGAAAGAATAATCCCTTTTTATTTATGATAATCTACACATTTTTGTACAGTGACAGATAAAATAGCGTCATTTTACTTATCTTCAAAATATGAAGCCCTGTAATGTTCTGATTTAAAAAAAATAAGTTAGAAACTCTGGACATTTACATGGATTCAATGATGGGTTCAATAACTACATGTAGAATTGATGCCCGAGTCAGAATTTCCTTCAACTGACTTTCCATTTAATCCCAGTAATTCTGAAGAGAAAAAAATCTGAAGAACATTACAAGATTGACAGAGGCATCGTAACAAATTTCAATAAGATCACTAGCTTAAAAATACTAGCAAGTTTATAAAAAATCTCCAAATCTCTGACCTTTAAAAGCTTTTATGGGAACTGTGAAAGACAGACAGGGATGAGAAGAGAACAATATACTATCAGATAGAATGTGGGCGTATGAAAATAAAATAAACCTACTGTTGGACATTGTACTGGAGTAGCATTAACATTTTCTTCTAATCTGTTTGAACATACATGACACACAGTTTCACACCCAGCTTCTGGACAGAAAGTACGATTAGGATCCATATCTATTTCTGTAACAATTACAAAACATAGAGTCTAATTAATAATCTGATGTCATCTCAAAAATTAATATACATTACCATAATTAAAGGCTCAATACCACTTTTGTTGTAACTGAATAATATGTCCCAATCTTTATTCTGGTCAACAAATTGTACTATTTTACAATATTTCAATTAATTGATGATACAAATTCCATCTTAACACACCTTATTTAAAAATTTTGAAAAATTCAACATAATGGTTTGAAACGTCTAACGTAAACCTTTTCAAATGAAACTTCAATTTAAAAATATTTTCGAACCCTCTGGACAAGGAAAATAGGATGTAATGGATAATTTACACAACAGGTAGGACACTTAAACATCCAAGGCTCTACAATGCGACTGAAACACTCGCATTTGCAAGTGAATTTTGACAATGGCGACTAGATATTTATAAATGCTAGGTTTCTGGCGAGTAAACATATATCTTGAAGTCCCCAATTAACACTATAGCTATCTGAACTTTTCTCTGTAAAGATAACGTAATCGGAAATGATCCCGGTCAACTGTCACTCTTGTTTCTTTCCTGGTTTGAAATTGGGTCAATCTCATTGTCCTCTGCTCATGCACTGTATTTATCGGAAGTTGAGACAGCTGACAGCATGGCTAGCAGACGAATCAAACCTATATCGTCTTACTTTACTAGTAAAGTAACTTCGTCTCGCAGTGAGTCTCAGTTGGGGAAAAATGATGATAGTCATGCTACTGACGCTACACAACCCAAACAAGCAAAATTACAAGCTTTGCCGTCTTCGTCTCGCAGTGAGTCCCAGTCGGAATAAAATGTTTAAAACATCTTTTATTATTATTATAGGACAAGTTGAAGTGTTATGTATGTTCACAATATAATTTAGCTATATCATACGACAAATTATTCTAATCTTCAGAATTGGCAACTGAAAATTTTGTTTGGCTAGTGGTTTTGAAAATTTACTTATGTTTGCACAAGTAAGTTCAAAATGCTGTGTAGAGCCTTGTAAACATCTAGTACTTAGATAGAGATATTATTTATTTTCTAGAGCTTTCAAGCCAGCAAATGTTATTGTCCCTTTAAGTTCATAATAATAAATCACAATTTATATGGAAAACAATCACTGAGTTTATTTCACACTACGTTTCAACAAGTTCCTCTTGTCGTTCTCAAGTAAATAATGACCTGAACCTGAACTTAATCAGTATCTTTGATGTCAATTTTGAAATGTTATTATTGTTCTTTTTATTATTATTCCTTTGATGGTTTCATATTACTATTAGTTATTGTTTTTGTTACCTTGTACATAATTTGATGTCTTGCCATATAATAATATACAAAGGAAAAATAATGACAAAATAAAGGAATAGGGACCTACACAACCATTATTAACAATGACAGTGCACATCAATCAATTTAATTTAACCTGTGAGTTGCTGCTGGCTCTTCTTTCTCTTTTCAGGTAACTTTTTATCTGTGGAGAGCCATACACAAGGAAAACTCTAATGGAATGCTTACAACTTTTAAACTTTGAAGTCTTGAACTTTTAGTTAATTTTTAACAACATGGAACTTATTGGACGAACACTTTTAATATGTAAATAATCTACGGGTCCAGCTATGTGGTTTTTACTGAGAGCACTTCGCTTTTCCACATAAAGCCAGTGGATTCTTTTTCCCCACAGGGTTTTTTCTATCCGCCCTGATGACACCAAACATCAGTCAGTTGGACCTCCTGTTTTAACTTGATTATGACAAAGGGAGAAAATAACCCGCCCTCTCTTCTCACGACAGCGAATTTATAAGTGTGCTTTAAGAAACTTTTGGAATCCGAGGACCTTTTTTATTTTGTGTTTTTAACAATTTTCAAGTGTAAATAATTTAATTAAATCAACCTGTCCATAATATCATATTCATTGTATTGGATGTTAAATCTGTAATAAACAACAATAACAACATTACACTGTCGTTATTTACTTGAGAACAACAAGTTTTATTATTCATTGTTTTATTATTATATATTCAATTACTAAATGCCATATAAGGATTTCAATTAAGTTTATGTTAATGATATCACAACAACTAATATAGATTTACCATAATTAAGTTTATGTTAATGATATCACAACAATTAATATAGATCTACCATAAATAAGTTAATGATATTACAATTACAACAATTCATATAGATCTATAAGAATTAAATTAATGGTATTAAAACAATTTATATAGATTTACCACAATTCAAACACATTATATTGATTTGAAATGAGCTGATGTTTAAGCAGATATAAAATCTCGCTCAAATGTCTATCCAATCAAAATGTTCCAAACCATAGCAAGGAAGTTAATATTGAACAAAAATCAGATGTGTGAGAAGCAAAATTGTCTTTAATTAATTCAAATATTGTAAATTAAAAGACTTCAACAACTTACCCCTCATATAATGTAAACGTTTGTACCTCTCAAAATTACTTTTGTCAACCAATTTTTGAATCTGAAAAGATCAGACGATAGGGAAAGTTTTAAACACAGGTTGCCAAAGCAACAAAAGATGTACCACAGTAGTACCTGGGCAGTATTGATGGTGTATTAGATTCAAAATTCTAAATTTCAGTCATAGCACATTGTATGGCGTAAACCTGTCTTCATTAGCCCAGTTGGTGCAGAAAAGTAGGCAGTTAAACTACATTTCATTTTTGTTTAATTTCGCCAAGAATATTGCTATCTACATGTACATGTATGAAATTCTCTATCGCTTCATGCAACTTAAATAATATATGGTGGAGAAAAACTACCATGATGTTAAGACAGAGGTATAATACAGGTACATGTATAATAAGAAATACAAAACTTTATTGCGATCCACATAAACAGATTTCCTCAATCTCCTGGGGTTTGTAAACGGTATATCTTTGAACAATTTCTAGACATTGTCTAACACTATAAAGTAATAGATATAGATCAACAAAACATACATATTAATTGGCTCAATTGGATTATACATCATCTTAATTTAGAAATTACATGAATAGAAGTTAGAAATGAGGTGATAGCACAACATTAACAATTTTAGAATTTTGAATCTATTCTAATATACCGCCATAGGGCAGTCCACAATTGGATTATACATCTTCTTAATTTAGAAATTACATGAATAGAAGTTAGAAATAAGGTGGTTATACAACATTAACAATTTAGAATTTTGAATCTATTCTAATTTACCGCCATAGGGTAGTCCACAAAGTTTGTCAAATATTTAATCTTCTGTAGTAATAGGGTGGCATTTAAAAGACAGTTAAAACTGATCAAGAGTGACAATCCATGAAGTAATTATCAAGAACAATTAAAATGTGGCTGGCTCCTAGTTCTTCCTTGTGCTAACAAAATATATTCAGTAATCAGATAATACATGTTACTCAATCCAGTATGACCACCAAGTGTCAGTGTGCCTACAGAGTGACAAAATGATGAACTGCCTGTGTGAATATACAGAGAATTAACATAGCAGGAGTGATTACTTTGTCTAGCAGCTAGCTTGGTAATATACGGTACAGATAAGTATGCTGAATATGAAAAAAGGTCTACCTCTGGTGTTTCTAATTTTCCTTGTTTTTTACACTGAGCATCTGGACATGTTATATCGGACACACTTCCTTCTTTTATCATCACATCTAAATACTGTCGCATACACTGAAATTTAAATACATACATCTATACATTTACAGTCATATATTTTAATAAAGCTTTGGGGAAAATGTAACAGGAATGTACTGACATATTACTTAAAAGTAAGAGGGTGAAAACAATAGCTTTCAAATGAATTTTAAAAAAACAAAGGGTTTCTAATAACTTAACAGGAAAGTATTGACATATTTCTAAAACATTTATCAACAAACAGAGGGCTTATGCTTATCACAATATGCGATTTTCATATTTTTCATTATAAGTTATTTCGGTCGCACACAAGAAACAATAGCAGTGAGAATGAATCAGAGAATATAGAGAAAGCCCAAAAGTACTTAAAGATGCATTGTGTAAGATTTAGATAAAGAGCTGGTCGTTCTTGCTATTATAAAAGTTCAAAAATAGATAATGCAAAATGAACATATTGAAAATTTCATTCAAATTACTTTATTCTGAGCTCAGTTATCAATGTTTGAAGTATTGACAAGATCATGTGGTACGTATATAAAGATTGTTTATTATCGTAACAACAGTACATGTTTATCGAGACTTACATGTAGCCTTGATTCCCTATTTTTAAATAAAACCATGTTTACATCTCCGTCATTCGATAATCTAAAGAGTTGATTATAGGCTTGTCAAGTGAATTAATGTTTAACAAGCCAACAGTGAGGCTGATGTCCCCCGCCAAAATCCCCCCAAAAATAGATGACACATATTAATTAATCGTACATTTATTTTTTTCAAGCAATCAAACTGATTATCAACTATTCACTAAGTGTCATCACTCTCTACCAGATAGAATCAAAGTTATCTTGTCCCAAAGCATCAACCAAGGAAATTGCTAGGCTTTAGCTCAAAAATATTAATCATTGAACTCAGTCAAGACTTTCACCTAATGAACATCTACATCAAGTTTAAACAATTAAAAAGAGAGTTGTTATGTTCCAAAGTCTTGACCAATCAAATTGCATATCGCTCCTGAGCCTAAGCAGAAAAATCTCATCATCGAACTTAGTCATGGTAATGATATAATGAATCTATACTCAGTGTTTCATCACTCTCACTTAATTAAAACCAAAGTTATCGTGCCCCAAAGCATCAACCAATCAGATTGCTTATCTCTGCTTACCGTAAGCAGACAATGTTTATCATCGAACTCCATTAAGGCATTCACCTAATGAGCACCTACACTTTAAAGTTTGAACATTCTACTTCTAGTTATTGTGTTCCAAAGTCTCGGCCAATCAAATTGCTTATTGCTCTGCTTACTGCTCTGCTTACCCTGAGCAGAAAATGCTCATTATCGAACTTAGTCAAGGTATTGATGTAATGAAACTATACACCAAATTTCATCACTCTCACTTAATTAGAACTAAAGTTATCGTGCCCCGAAGCATCAACCAATCAAATGGCTTATCTCTGCTTACCCTAAGCAGAAAATGCTCATCTTCGAAATCCATCAAGGCATTGACCTAATAAACACTTACACCAAGTTTGAACATTCTAGAAGGAGAGTTATTGTGTCCCAAAAAGTGTGACAGACAGACAGACAGACGGACGAACCCATTTTAATAGTCCTCTGCTTTCTTCGAAAGAAGGGGGACAAAAAGATTCCACATGCACGACAATTACCAAATGTTTACACTGTAGTTATTTTGGATAGCCTCATTTATCAGTATTAACAATTATCACACAATTAGTTTCTCTGTAATATTCTGTTATGTACTAGTTAATTGAGCGTAATACATTTCGCACGTTATGATGTAATGTTGCCATGACTGTCATTATACTTTTAAGTCAACATATATAGAGCTCTGGTTAATTTTGATTGATTTTGTTACGATTTATGTACTGGTTGAAGTGTTGATAGGACAGTTAACCAGTCATTATTTGGGACAAAAATTTGCGCAGAGTATGGAAGTGTTTGAGTCGGATTAGGTCTAATCAAATGAAATACTGTGAGGAGTATGCTGAAGGGAGACATAATGATGACACTGATAAATTTGTCAAAATAATGGTGGTTACTTCTGAGCCATTTCACAAAATTATTGGAAATACTGAAACTGAAAATGTGTTTGTTGCTACATGTATGTAAAAATATGTCAGGTATTTAAAAATGTGAGGGTATAAAAAAAATGTAAAACTTTTCTTTAAAAAATTTTAAACTTACCATCTCACAATACAGACATTTACAATCATGTAGTTCATACATATCTTGAAGTGGACATTCCATTAAACACAATTTACACATAATAAGTGGATCAATAGCCAGTTCAACTGTACTTTTAGACGCTGAGTAGGTGGCCATTTTCTTCTTTCTAAATTCTCATCAAATCTGAAAAAATATAAAAATATTGAGATTATTTATTACAAAACCTAGAGTATAATAAATAGAATATGATCTGTAACTTTAAAAAGTAGAGTACCGGTAGTGTTTTCTTCAAATCTGAAAATATTGAGAGTAATCCCACATGTATCAAACTGAAGAGCCTTGTCCTTTACCAATATATAAGAGTAGGCTGCCATTTGTATTCTTCTGTTTGTCTTAAAAGTATATATATAAAAAAAAGAGTATATCAAATAAAAAAATATGAAGATATAATTATAAATTTATCATTATCAACAGCAATTTTAGAAAAAGAGTAGAATGCCACTTTATTTCCACAATTTATCGAAAATGTCATCAGGCCTGGATAAAACCACAAATTAAATAAAGATGAACATGTACCAATATATCACAACCAGCTGTTTCCTAAAACTGTGCTTTATTAAGCAATATAGCTGTCAAAATCAATATATATACTATCATTTATTACTACATGAGAAATACCGGGACTGTCAATTAATTCCCGGGACTAAATTGATTTCTTTGAATCAAGTGATACATCATTATATTTTTAAGTGTAACATCCTGTCTGTGTGGGATTCAACTAATTATACTGCAGTGTTAAACAACAGTTCCTGCTAAGGTTAGTCTACTAATAATAAATATAGGCTACAAAAACCACAGTGCAAAATAATTTAAAAGGCCTAAATACAAAATGACAAAAATACAATCAATCCGGGCATGGGTTATAGCCCTAGAACTAATTTGCACAATTTTTTAAAAATTGCTTAGTATTATGAATTACCCCCAACACTAATTATTTCTGATTAATGATGTGAAAATCTGTCAAAACATCAACTTTGCAGATGGAAGATAGACAGACTATTATATAAACTTACAACCAAATTAATGTCAGCGAGTGTATAAAAATAGACTAGGTTTCCAGGCAATTTATTTAATGTCAGTTCATACATACTATAATGATGCACTGGACTGAAAAAGACAATTACAATTTATATGTCTGCATATGTATATATGCTTGACTGTCAAGCCTTGACAGAACTTTGAAGTCTTTCAAATAAAATGACTTGCCTATTAAGTTTCTTTTGATATTAAATTCAAAGGGTCGGGATGTCTTTGATTGCATTACAAATGTCAGGGTCTTAAAGATACTTTCTCACAAAAGTATTTATAGGGTGGTTATTTCTAATAAAAGTATGGCAATATTGGTGTATATGGAAAGTAGAAACATCTAATCTTATTAGAAAAATCCTGGATTCCTTGAAAAACAGCCATGGAACACATACAGGACAAAAATTTAAGGGTTTCCCTAACCGGCAACCCGACGATTAGGGATGTCTGCTCAGCGTTAGTGAGCGCTTGATGTATATGTTGATAAACTTGATGGTGAGCTGAAACGTACAACAGTATCTGAGATAAAAAACACAGAAAAAGATGTGGGCAGTGAATAATTCGAGAATTTAATTAGGCTTTGAAATTTATGATAAATAAACAGCGACTTAAGACAACATCGTCTTGTATATGCAATGAATTCTCCTCCGGCTTTGCAGCGCGTAGCCACATCACGTGAGAAAAGCACGACCTCTTTTTAATACATATTTTATAACAGTCGTATCCCTCTAAAATACAATGTTTTAAGAAGGATTTGAAGCAACATTTTGATAGATTACAGATACTTTCCCAGAAAAGTATTTATCGGGTGGTTATTTCCAGTATGGCAATTTTGGTATATATGGAAAGTAAAAATATCCAATCTTACAAGAAAAATACTGGATTCCCTTAAAAACAACCATTGAATGCATACAGGACAAAAATTTAAGGGTTTCCCTAATGGGCATCAATTCAAAGGTAGCACGCGAAGATTGAGCACTTGATGTATATGTTAATAAACTTGATGAAGGGTTAAACGTACAACACTTTCTGAGATAAAAACCACGGAAAATGACATGGGCAGTGGATAATCCGAAAATTTAATTAGGCTTCAATATTTTTGATTTATGGATAGCGATTAAAGATAACATCGTCTTGTATATGCAATGAATTCTCCGCCTGTTGCTAGGTAGTGCATCAGCTAAGTCATGTGACAGAAACATGACTTTTTTTCATAGATTTTTTACAGTAGGGGTATTCCCTCACGAAAACAGTGTTTTGAGAAGGATTTGAAGCTAAATTTTGATAGATTATAATTAGTTTGATTGAATATGTTTTTAGTCTAAATACATCATTAAATCATCCAGTTTGTACGCGGGAACGTATTTTTAATTACATGTAGTTTGAATATGCTTTTAGTCCAGATATATCATCAAATCACCCAATTAGAACATGGAAATGTATCTTTAATAGTCTTTACAAAACCATAACTGCATTATGTGAGTTCGTTCAACCACAGCAGTCATTGGAATGCAGTTTGGTAACATTCAGAGCTCACTAATTACAAATCAATGTACATGCACCTAGGCAATTAAGACCACTGCTACTTATGATGTTCGTTATACAGAGAAACATGTATGCACCTACATGTAATACGATTCAAAGAAATACTTCTGAACATGTATAAAAAGATAGGTTGCCAGGCACTAAGTTTTCCAAACAAGAGCATCGCTAATGCTGCAATATACGTCCACATTCCAGCTTTGATTGATATGGTACTTTTTAAAATGAAGAAAATGAAATATGAAATGGCTGTAATATGATCAGAGGCAAAGAAGGCTAGGCGTCGGGTTTGTTTTGCCAAATTTACAGACAAAATACTAACAGTAAAGTGGGTGTGACACTGCCCCAAGAGGTCCGGGCAAGTATCAAAATAAATTATTGCTGTCTTTATGGTATAAGGAATAAATATGCAAAGTTCCAAGATGATCCATTCAGAATTGCAGTCTGTAGACGATAAATACAAAAACTGGGCGTGGCTCTGCCCATGGGGGTTGGATATGGAAACAATATAAACAGGTACCATCCTGTTATTGAAATGGCAACATCACTAGTTACCGTCCTTAGGGTATAAGGAATAAGTACACCAAGTTCCAAAATAATCCATTCAGAATTGTGGCCTTTGGGCGTTAAAGGCAAAAATTGGGCGTTGCTCTGCCCCTGGGCGTTGGGGCATTCACCAAAATCAATAGTTGATGCCCTTAGGCTATAAGGAATACATATGCTAAATACCAAGTTGATCCATCCAGAATTCGGGCCTGTAAACGATAAACATAAAAATTGGGCGTGACTGCCCCTGGGGGTCGTGACATGCAGTTGTCGTCCTTAGGCTATAAGGAAAACATATCCCAAGTTCAAAGACAATCCATTAGGAATCGTGGCCTGTAGGCAACTCACAGAGACACAAAGAAAAAATGGGTGTGGTTCTGCCCCTGGGGGTTGGGCAATCACCAAAAAAATAGAGGTCAGCCTTGGGGTATAATGTATAAGTATAAAAAAGTTCTCAAGATGATCGATTAAGCATTGCAGGCTGTAAGTGACATACAGACACACAAAAAGAAAATGGGTGTGGCTCTGTCCCTGGGGGCTGGGCATTCACCACAAACAAAAGGGATGTTCCTTAGGATAGAAGGAGTAAGCATGCAAAGTTTCAAGGTGATATGTTACGAAATGCGGTCTGTAGATAACAAACAATGAATATAAGAAATGGGCGTGGCTCTGCCACTGGGGGTCGGACATGCACCAAGAACAATAGGGATCATCCTTAGGGTATAAGGAATTCATATGAAATTTTTTCAAGACGGTCGATTAAGAATTGTGGCCTGTAGGCAACACACAGACATACAAAGAGAAAATGGGCATGGCTTTGCCCCTGGGGGTTGGGCATGCACCCCAAATGATAGGGGTGTTCCTTAGGGTACAAAGAAAAAGTATGCAAAGTTTCAATATGATGCGTTAAGAAATGCGGCCTGTAGACGACAAACAAACAAATACAAGAAATGGGCGTGGCTCTGCCCCTGGGGGTCGGGCATGCACCAAAAACAATAGGGATCATCCTTAGGGTATAAGGAATAAGTATATTAAGTTTGAAGATGATCACTTAAGAATTGTGGCCTGTAGGCGACACACAGACACACATACACACACACACAGACAGGGGCGACGGCAATATACGTCCACATTATGAATGTGGACGTATAAAAATGGGGTTTAAAAATCAACTTGACACAAACTATGTCATTTAGGGACTAAAACATGGTTCAATTTATTTTAATAAATAGATTGAGCGCAGGGTTTTTAGCAGTGGGAGGAAACCAGAGGACTCAGAGAAATCCAAGCCACTTGACTCAATGACAGACCTATTTGATCCCAGTTATCTAAAACCAAAAACTATTCAAATCTGTTAAAAATACATCATGTAAGAGATAAATCTGCCTACCGAAGGTCATTTTTCTGGTTTCAAATCTTATATAGACATTTATTCACGTTACGGTACAAGTCCATAGTTACAGCACTGGTCATACTGACACTTTAGCATTATTCTAAATCAGTATGTTGTTAACAAACTTTGAGCATCTCTGAATCTGGTATAAGATACAATATCTTTTTCTGCACTTGACAGTTACTTCCAAGATCTAATTGTGTATCTCATTAGAAAACACTTACGGTACATGTATATACAGGTCAAAATTCTATGGAATACAATTACTGCTTATTACTGAGCAACTTTTTAGACTAGGCTTCTCTAGTCATTATTAGAATTTCGTACAGCTTTTTTTATATCTAACATTGCTCAGTAATAAGCAGTAATTGTATTCCATAGAATTGTGACCTGTATATTCCAGTTCAATTACTAAATGCCATAAACTTTATCTTCATGTAAAAAAAAATCGTGATTTATTAAGCACTTAGGATATATTCTATCTATATTATACATACACTGTACATGTATGATGAGTCACTTACATACTATGCAATTGCTCTTGTAGATCAGTAAATGACAATGATGTGCATAATAATGCACACAAATTAATAATAACAATCAATTCCTTACAAAATGTCTTTCATTCTTCGGTCACTCAATATTCATATTGTTTGGTTCTAATTTTGATCCATAGGAATATGGTATGTTCAATTCCTAAAAATTCACAAGGATTCAAATAGTATGTAAATTCCTATCCAGTTGCCTGGCCCTATCTTGCATTCAAACCAATAAATCAGAGACAAGTGTTTGTTGTTGATAACATTCTAACAGCCATGCAGGATATCCTTGTCCTTGCATCTAATTATGTTAAAAGTTAAAATTTCATATTTTGTAAGAAAGTCAAAACATAATTATTTCTATGTCTTTTGCTCAATAGGTTGTCAACTCACTATTATACGATCATAGGTGTCATCCTCACACTTAAAAATCATAAAACCGGAAATAATAACACAATTACCTCCCTTGTTTTCCTATTCCCAACCATGGAATAGCTATCTTCAAACGTTTGAATTTGAAGTTGAACATGATATTTTTGCCAATTTCTCAACTGGCAATAGTGAATTATAGGATTAATAGAATTATTCTTTAACAAGGTAGGGCTGTTTATAGATACCATCTATTTTAGGGCTTTATTTTAATACATTTTAAAAATATAACTTAAAAATATGAAACTGTAACTTTAAGGGCCATTTTTTTTATAAACTTGACGATCAGACATAAATCTAATCAATGGGAGAGAGAGATGGGGTTTAACTCCACTCTACACAAACTAGGTCATTTCGGGACTAACATATGGATCTATTTTATTTCAATAATTCGCTTGCGCATAGGGGTCTTTAATAGTGGGAGGTAAACGGAGGACCCGGAGAAAACCCACGAAGTTAGACAGGCCACCCTACTCCTTGTCACATACAACCGGGGAATGGAAACCACGCCAGTTGACTCAATAACAGACCTTATGATACAGCGCGCACATGCTAACCATTCGGCCATCCTCCCTCCCTAACCAATGGAAATACCTACCCACACTGATACCATTCTAATGGAAATTGCTAGTATATATTGTGAAGAAAGAAATAAAACCAGGATACAGTATCAAGGCCTTTTTAATGTGTTCCAGTGTTTTGGGGGCTATTAAATGGGAGTTGAGACACTATACAGTTCAGTCCATGGTCAATTTATTAAATTTACATGTATGAATATCACCTTGATTATCCTTTTCAATAGAGCCAGTGTAATATGAGTGCATAGCCCCAAGTTTTTATTGATGCCAAATAATGTTGTTTGTCAATAAAATAAATAACAAACCTTGAGAAGTAATCAGCTGCAAAAATAAAATCCTTAATAAGTAAGATTTTTAAGAAAGTTTCATGACATGCAGAAATTCATGTCACTTGTGGCAGGTGTTTTTCCCCATTTAACATCTGCTAATCCAAAGTTCGTGAAGGAGGGCAAACTGTGAACAACACACATCAATTCAAATGTCTGATAGTTCAATTGTTAGAACAAACTACGCCTTTACAGGATGTTAAGTTCTATAAATGGATTATTCTCAGTAGGAAGTGACACCAAATAAACCTTAAAATTCATTAGAATATTTATCTGTAATTATCAGAATATCAAAATAATTCTTAATAAATGTATAGGGTTAAATTAAAGTACTACTAGTGCCCTATTACTTTCCCACTCTATCCAGACGAATGATGACAGACATACGTCATGCTATTTGCTAGGAGGGAAATTTTACCTAAACAGCAGTGTTAATAGCTGCAATATTGTAGTGTAGACCTGACCTTAGAAGCTTTCACTACTGTGACTTAAGTCATAGACGGAAGTTATCAGTAGCTGAACCATTTCTGCGGCATTACAGCCTTCGAATGCCAACTTTCAAGGATTCTTTATGTTTTTTGGCCCATTCTAACAAATGTCAGTTAAATCGTCCACACGAAAAGTCTAGTTAAGTCGTCCACAAATATAAAAATGTTTATGTTATGGATGACGTCAATTAGCAGACTATCGCTATTCTCAAGCAGTAGCATTATGTCATTCTTATCAATATTTGTTTTCATTTCAAGTCTGAAGGCCCAGGACTCTACAGTGCAGAGGATGCTTATGACTTGTCCTGGATCCATTTCCGTATAGTGCGGCTTGCACTAAGATTTACTACATTTGGTTGCTTACTGTGTGAAGCGTTTATCATCATTTTCATAGTTTTGATACGATTATCACTAAGTGCTTTTGTTGTGGTTTAGTAAATAACAAACAACAAAATAAATCACTCGATTCAATAAATATTCAATAACAATTTCATTAACTAGAACTCCTAAGGAGTACTGACGTGTTTTGGGATGTCACATCACGTCACGGCTTGTCACGTCAATGTTCAAGTTACACCACGAATTTATATTAAAAAATCTGCTCCCTAAACATACATTATACAAGAGCTAAATCAGTCCATTGCCGGTCTTTCTTTAGGCCTGAAATGTTATCTAAATTATTAATTAGACATTAATTAACTTATCCAGACCATAATCAACTCTCGATGTCAACGCTAGCCTGCGATATTTACTGGATTATTATCCGATTTGCTGCTCAACTTTCATTCATGGATTAATTAGAAAGAGCTAAATCGGCCTATTGCCGGTCTTTCTTTAGGCCTGAAATGTTATCTAAATTAAAATTAGACATTAATTAACTTATCCAGATCATAATCAACCCTCGATGTCAACGCAAGATTATTATCCGATTTGCTGCTCAACTTTCATTCATGAATTAATCACGAAATCATGGACCTTATGTATTATAAGGTCCATGATGAAATGGATAATCAAGACTATGTTTTTTATGGTACCGACTTTAGTAATGATGATCGACGCTAGGACAAAAAATTCAATCACAAAAATCTCGCTTCAGATGATTTAACGCCAAATGGGTAATCGAGACATGTTTTTTTTTTTATCGTACCGACTTTAGCAATGATGATCAAGACTAGGCCTAAAATTCAATCGGTAATATCTCATCAAATTCCCTTTACATTATTTAGTTTTTAACTACTATAGTGAGAACTGCCAGCTCTTTATCTAATCTCCCATAATGTATAATGACAATATTTTTCATCAAAACGATTGATCATGGTTATTTAAAACATTTCTGCCACATCCAACTACAATTAAGCATATAATCCTACCTGAAACAGGTATAAATCATCGTATTTCAAATCGAGGCGTTAAGCCATTACTAGGATCGCCACGGGAGACGTATGAAGGCGAGGCTAAATATAAGGCGAATCATTTCGGAAAATAAAATAAAATTACGGCGTTAACGTTGAATTAAAACCCGAACAAGAAATTATTTGGGACCTGATAAATGGCAAGAAGGATGTTTTTTGCTTTATTGTAAAAGGGGTGTGTAGGGTTAGCGCATGTCTAAAGCATCGTAACTATGAATGGACTTCGATGGCTGTGTATGTCGGATAAAAACAACGCTTCATTAATTTAAACGCAAATATTTGGAGTTAGGTGATAGTTGTGCCACTACATGTACATTGGCCTCTGTAATTTTAATTAGTAATTGAATAATAGTATAAAATTATCTTATTTTTAAGATGTTACATGCATTAATAAAGAAAATGAGTTTGCCACTTGGAACTAAAGGCATCCAACCATAGCTAAAAACAAGCATGTCAGTATATCTCAACGTTTTTAGCTACGTTCTCGTAGCTACATCTGTGGTAGAAAGCATTCTAACCAACGAAAATTGGGGAAAAAGTTAGAGCTGGTCTAAGAGATGAGAAATAACATTAAAGTCAATGGGGAAATCATTAGTGATCTGTGGTCAAATAAGATGAAATTTTGACATTTAAAAAACGGAACGAAATAGGTCTGTCAGACCATTTTATATAAAAATTAATTAAAAATAAAAGAAAAAGCATTTACATTACAGAGGTTATCTCGCATATTATAAAAATAGCATGGTCATATTTCTTTTTATATTGATAAATCAAATCTTTTATAGAGCTACCTCTAAAAAGATGATATTAGATTACAATGAAGTGCTTGAAAACAAAACACATATCAAATCTATAAACTAAAAATAGACATTTCATTTGACTGACAAAACATCAACAGACGACAGTCACGGGTGACAGAGTGCCTGTGCTCTACTTACATAATTGAAATGCTTTTGTTCCACCTAAATGCAAAGATCAACCTAGGTGTAGAAAATCTTCAAAAGACAGTTTCTCTTGGCTGGTACAGAGACAAAGATCCTGTTTACAATCCGTACTGCACTGATCTCATTTGTCCATTTGACATTTTCCATTTTCTTCTCGCTTTTTTTCCAAATCTCGCAAAATCTCGTGGAATTTGGTATTTATGCAATATTAAATTAAAAGCCAATTTTTGTATATTCAGAGCGGTATAACATGGAGATAATGGAATAATTAATTAAGACTTTAATTTTTCAAACTTTTTTTTATTATTTTGGTTCAATATCAATAAATATGTCCTTGACCTTTGTTTGGATTTTGTAAGGGTCAATTTGATTGGATAGTTTTAAGTAGTACGCCATTTTGCCGCCATTCGATTCATTTGCAACAATGTCTGATTCCGAAAATAAAGATGCAGACCTGTCTCCAGAGGTAATGAAGAGGTCCCCTTTATAATTATTTGTAAAAAGATATAGACAAAGAAATATTTTGCAAAGCTGTAAGCGTATCCTGCGTCTATCAAATCGTAAATTATCCTGTAAAAGTTGACAATAATAGATAAACAAATTCTAATGCTTCCATTCTCATCTCAATCTAGAACTGAACCAGAGTGATGAGACGATACGACATAAGAAAAAAAAAAGACTATAATATTTTCCTCAACTAAATCGGTGGTATATTTAAAAGAAAACAATCATATATATAATTAATATAATCAGAAATGCAGAGACTATGTTGACAAGATTGATTTTGGTATAATCGCCATCGCATCGAGTGCCTGCCATGGCATTATTAGTAGTAGGCCTATTATAGCTATTCAATTACAAAATTACATAACATAGTAGTACATTAGATAACAAACCTTAATCTCTCAACCCTCCGTGTTTCAAGATAAGGGATGATGCTATTACCTTCAGTGTAGCACATGCGGGAGCGATTTGCACCTGGCATTTGTAAACAAAATTGACAATATTTTTAATCAAAACAACAATTGGTTATTGTTATTTATAATATTTCTGCCACACCCAACTACAATTAAGCATCCTACCTGAAACGGGTACAAATCCTTTTTTAAATCAAAGCGACAGTCTAGATTGCTTTTTCCGACATTTTAAATTTACGTCTGTATAAATGCGGGGCCTCGTGTGCAATAGCCAATCAAAGTACCAATCTGATCAGAGTTGCGCTGTAGTAATACGGCGTAATTATGAACGTCTGAATCAATTTTAATAAAAACAACGCTTGTTTTACTTTGTCAATATTTGCTGATAAATGATTGTTGTTTCAGTAGATTGGACTGCGTATGTGTAATAAGTACTAATAGTATAAAATTAACTTATTTTTAAGATGGTACATACATTAATAAAGAAATTGAGTTTGCCACTTTGAACTAAAGGCATCCAATCGTAGCTAAAAACAAGCACATCAGTAGCAGCGTTTTTAGTTACGTTCTCGTAGCTAAGTAGTACATATGACATACATTTCAATCTCTCCAGTTTCGGCCCCCCCCCAAAAAAAATATTGAACACAACCATCAAAGGATTTCCCCAGTCAAATTAGTTTAAAGTAGCTAAATATCTAACTCAATATCATCCAAAGTCTTACTCGTTGAAAACACAAATTATTTGTCAATTCAAATCAACATTGATGCTGTTATCTTACCGGGAAAAGACAGACTGATATCCAATATTTAAGACAAAATAAACATTTTACCATTGGTACACGAATCGTGTACCATAGTGCGTTTCATCGTCATTTGTAACAAGTGACCAGAAAGAGAGAGGCTAGACATATTCCACAACTTATGTCATACGGCGACGCCATAACTTATCTGGAGAGCATGCGCAATAGACTGGAATAACCAGACGCTCGAAATTTCTATTCAGTTGAGACTCCTGCCGTATTTCGCTGGACCTAACTGATTTGATATTAGAGTCAAAACAGAAACAATTGAATTTAAATCAGTTCATATAAATTCAGATTTCATAATTATATGCGGTGCAACCAATTTGGCCCAATTTCTAGGTCAGAAATATTGGTGATTTAGCTCCTTTAAAATAAGCCAAAAACGATGAACTAGGTAAAATTTATCCTTTGTTATCATGTTGTCCTACAGCCCGTGGATCATGCACTGTATCGACCTCTAAGGGCACTCCAATATTTTCAATCTTGAATGTTTACGAAAAGAATGTTTTATATAATATGTATTTCTTTGTATCTGTACTATTTTTGAATCCACAGTATTTGATATAAATAAAATAAAAATGTAGCAGATAAATTTATTTGAAATAGGCCAATTCAATCCATGAAAGAAAATATTAACATAAAACACATTTAAAAGGCTCATCCAAACAATAAAACATTAGTAATGGTTCTTTGATAAAGTAATCATCATTTCCAGTAAAGGTAATATATATTTTAGAAAAAGGAATAATATGTTGATAAATTTATTTGAAAATGATGTACGCAAACCTCAAAAGAAAATATTTACACAGCATGCACAGTTTTTATAAGGCACTCAGAATTTTAACAATAATCTGTAAGTTGCACTTTGATATGCATTCCTTGACAAGCTTGCAGTAGAAAGCAGTACCAATCGATAAATTAGTTTGTATAAAGAAAAGTCTTTTCGGAAAATATTAGAAATGGCAACGATCAAAACGGGATAATTAAAGCTGATAAGAGAGAGAGAAATGGGGTGTCCACTCAACACAAATAAAGCTTATTGTAGTATGTGCAAAGAAATCTTACAGTCCTTTGGTGGATGTATAAACACACAAGTAGCCAATCAGCGATTATCGTTGTCGTGTGTTGTTTCCATTTCACGCAGTGATCGGTCAATCAAGCTCGTGTACTATTTGATAACACTAACAGATAAATAATGAAGTAATGCTAAATATACAACCATATTTTATTTATTTATCATTTGTTATTGTCTTAAACTGAGTCAAAAAAAGTTGTCTAAGTGCGAACTGTCATTTTTGTGTAGTTCGAAAGGATGGGGGACTGAAACATGCTACCCATCTATTTGTCCTTCTCACTGACTAGACTGAATAATCCAGCCTCTGAAGATAACTCCTGTTCACTGATATGTCGATTACCAGAGACTGTAGTCAGTAGTGGCAGTTACATATGTTTAGTTCATTAATATTGATAAATTAATAAATCAATGTTTTACTTTTTTTTTTTATCTAACTTTGTGTCTTTGCATCATGCTATGTTGGATCCTCAGTTATGACTTATGTACAGATGATTGTATTGTCAAGATCAAACTTACGTTACAAATCATACAGGCAGGGCAGTTTGCCATTATGGTACCGTATTCTCCTTAACATAGGGCTGGACAATATTTTCGGTAATTCGATAAATCGCGATATTAAAATTTGAATTCCGATATTTTATAAACCACCTAAAAAATCGCGGTATAATGATATATCGTATTGTGTGTTTTTATATCAATATACCTGTATTTTACACGATATAATCACGATATTATGTGCTGCATTTGGGATGGGATTGACATCCAACAATTTACGGCATTACGTCACGATCGATGACTTGTCACTTAATTGTTCATTGACAAGGCCTACTAAATACATGACTAGTCTAGTAGTTTTCTCGATTATTAAACTTGATAAATAAATTCATAATTGAAAAATTATTATTTAATTTATAGAGGCATTCCCCTCTTGCCGTTGGAATTTGTCATTATAATGTCAACCCCGTCACTAATGCTGTGCAACACTCGAATGACCAGCCAAGTAAGTCGTTGCGTAATATCTTCTCTTCGCCGTCTTCGGTCGATTTATCATTGGCACTGTTGGGAAACAGTTATTTTCATTTAATGTATGATGCCGTTTGTTAGTTAACTATCATTTTGTGTGTGTGTTTGGATGGGTTTTTTTTGCCAATTTTTAAACTGAAGCCGATTTAAATAAAAGTAAAATGTTATTTGTAAATAAAACTAAATTGCGTCTAGATATTCGAGATTTAGACAAACTCCAGAGTTACACGCTGTTGTAGTGTACGGAATAGGAAATATTACGTCTGGTTCTTTGAGTCTACTCATACCCACATGTTATTCAACATTTTGCGGAACATTGCGAAGCTCAAGCTGATCGAACAGTAATAAAGCCTAAAAAAACATTGCACGAGTAACCCTTGAACTTAATTCTCGGTCTGTGCTTTTGAAACAGGGATAATGTACCCTAAGGGGGGGAGGGAATGACCTGTTTTTAACACTTATATAATCACATCTTTTATAATAAAACTAAAATATCGGGATATTGTGATATATCGCGGTATATCGTTAGCTTTTTATAATAAAACTAAAATATCGCGATATAGTGATATATCGTCGTTTTTTTGGGAAATATCACGATATTTGATTTTACCAATATCGTCCAGCTCTACCTTAACATATGCTACATATGCGAAAATGGATTTTACGTTGTACTGTAGGCACTACAATGTTTCTCTTTACTCTGCTGGGTGCAGGAATTAATCGGCATTCTAAACCCTAGATTAGCTCTTTTTTTTTTTCAATAAAAGAAACTGCAATATGGTAAAAATAATATTGATTCAATAACTAAGACTTGAACCAAAATTACAGTAGTATTCATTTCAATCTTATATTTAAAGCCTTGCAGTGCTCCACTGATACTCTTGATTTAAATCTAAACTAGAAAAAAAGACTGAAGGATGTTCTTTAGATAGTAATTTAGATGTTTGAATAAATAAAAAAAATGTAGGTTAGATGCCATCTAATGATGAATGATGATTATGAATAAAAACTACTTTTTAATGTACATGGATTAAATGTCTAAGCTTATATTTGTTGTTGAGTCTGGAATATTGTGCCTACAAAATTACCCCATAACTACTGCCTTTGCCTTACAATATGCTTTCATATTCAGAAATACAAAATGCTAAAGTAAAAGGACAATACATATTATCACAGTCCTTAGGCCTTTTGATTTTATAAACATTGTTAGGATGCTTGTGTAGATTGTATAATGATACAATGTATCTAAACGCTTATTCAAATGAGGTTAAACTCTGTTTCATTTATTTCTAGCCTGAAGAAAACATAAAGAAGCCTGTTAGTATGGATGTGGGAGGTGGTGACAACAGTAACTCTAAGGAAGAAGTTAAAAATGATATGCCAGCGATCGACAGTCCTCCATCATCGGAACCAAATACTCCAAATAAAAACAACACACCTGTCACGTCACCTAAAAAATCCAAAAAGAAAAAAGTTGTGACTTCACCAGATGAAGAGGAAGAATTGCCTCGTAAGAATTTTAAGTTATTTTATTGTACATGAAGCTTGATGGATTTCTTTGATCACAGTTCAAATTTCAGATTGCAGGAATGAATTCACTTAACGAAACTTTAGTTTTTACCTTTATGTTATGATGATAAACCATTGTTTCATTCACAGTCAAAGAGGGTTTATGACCTTGCGCAAAAATCTTGAATACTAATGTCAGACTTCTGAAAGTAAATGAACTTAAATTAGTATATTTGTTCGTTTAGCCGGATTATTAGAAAGACCAGTTATCATAGAATCAGGAAAAAGAGAAAGGAAAAAGACTGATAGACTTCCAGCTGGAGGAAACTTTACACCAAGTCAGAAAAAGAAAATTGAAATACCTGAAGGAAAGGGAACAAAATTAGGAGAATGTCCAAGAAGTAAGTTTTTATTAACATCATCATGTATTAATTGTCATTTATTTAGATTTGAGAAAAATATACAACTCAACAAGAAGTAAGTTTTTATTAACATCATCATGTATTAATTGTCATTTATTTAGATTTGAGAAAAATATACAACTCAAAAGAACAAAGTATTTTAAAAGAATTCGAGTTACTGAGTGCCAATATTTTCTTTTCAGTTGAACAAAAACTACAACAAAATAAAGCTGATGATCTCAAATTTTTACACAGATTATTATTTAACAGACAAGGCTCTGTAAGTATTCCATAAAATTTGTATTCTCAGACTACAGCACAAATGATCCAGACCGGTAGTCGTAATAGGCTACTGGACAATTTCAGGACAGTCAAACAATAGCAAGTAAGGCGTCTACTACAAAATCCCACATTATTTGAATATTGGGTTTGAAAAGTCCATTTCCTTAATTAGTTGGTGACAAAAATGTCATGTTGTATACAGTAAACAAGAGATAAAGATGGTTAAGATTTCTAAATTAATGTATCTAAGATTATTCTGGTTTTCATCGACTTTTTTAGTCCACTAAATTATTAGAAAAGAAAGTAGAGTTATTCTCCATAAAAGACAGAATTCATTAGGGGGATGTTTCATTGTCAAAATGGAATGTCCTGAATTGACAGAATTACAATCGAGTGACACCTTATTCGGCCTTATAACAGTTATGTTAGTACCTACAAATATTATGTTTCAACTGTCATGGTTGATTAGGATACATGTACTATCCTATGCAGGCGTTGGCTGTGTTGTAGCCAAAAGTCCCCCTTTTTACACGATTGTCAGTACAGTTCCGGAATGTTAAATGCGCATTCCCTAGATCTTGCTTGAATTTGACTCGTGATTTCTTTGAATATTATATTTTCTTGTCTAGGCTCAGGAGATAAAAAAGAACATCAAACAGTTTTGTGGGTATGCGTTTGAATCTGGAGATAAAGAATACGATAAAAAGATGGCAGTTATAAACAAGTAAGTAACTATAGCCTTACTTTAAGAATAGATTTATGATTAGTTTAGAGTATTGTTTTTCAACAAGAAAATAATTTTTTTTTGTAAACCAACATAAAAATGAGATTAATGATTGTATATTGCCGTCCCTTCCCCCAGTCTGTATAAATGTTAGTCTTTGACTAATCACATACTGCAGTTATCAGGTGGGGTTGATGGCGGGATGGTTAGCATGTGCGTGCTGTATCATAAGGTCTGTCATTGAGTCAACTGCCATGGTTTCGATTGCGGAGTAGGGTCGCCTGTCCAACCCCTTGGGTTTTCTCCAGGTCCGCTGGTTCCTCCCACGGCTAAAGACCCCTACGCGCTAGCGAATTATCGAAATAAAATTGAACCATGTGTTAGTCCTGAAATGACCTAGTTTGTGTCAGTGGAGGTTACCCCCCCTCTCTCTCTCTCTCTCTCTCTCTCTGCAGTTATCAACTGAGTTTATATGTTTACATTAGTTAGCCCTAGAGATGTTTTGAATTTCATTAGGCTATTTCTGATGAGAATTTGTAGAGTTATTGTTGATCTTTGTTTCGATTATTGCAATGAATAGCGATTATAACAGTAACTCTTTTGAATAATTACTTCTAGCTAAAGTTACTGCCTTTGATTTTTTTGTACAAGACTGTCGATGTGCCTATGGTAGTTTACAGTATAAAGTTTACATGGACTTCTCAAATAACTTACATGATGTCGATTTATGTTTTTTCCCTGGCAACCTATGTTTTTATATAATATATTCAAAATAATGCTAGACCTACCTTATCAACGAAAGTCCAAGTTCAGACCTATTCTGAATAATATATATAGGACATACATTTTAATTAAAATCTGTCATGATTTGTCAGATTCGTCTCAATTTGTCGTAAGAGATAGTTATTTCCTTACTAAATGGAATAATTAGTAAAAACATGTGAAGAAAGTGTACTATAATTATATTATTATTTATTTTCAGATGTACAATTTCTCAGTTAAAGTCAGCTTGTGGTATATTAGATTTGGAAAGAACTGGTCAGAAAGTGGATATTGTTTATCGATTAATGGCTTTTCTTCTTCATCCAGAAAACTCGGGGAAACCATTACCAAAACCAAAGCCCAGTAAGTTTGTTAAGAGTCATTCACAAAATCATGCAGTCCTATTGATGTGAAAGCCTGTTTCTATTTCAAAACCAGTTTCAGCTAAGAAAAATCATTTCTGATAGTGAGCTCACAAGAGAAAAACAATTTGAATGTGTTAACTGCAACACTTAGTTATAAGAGATTTATAACCGGTTACATACTAGAAAACATCAACAATTAGGGTCTGTAAATTTACCCTAGTTCCAAAATAACCACTTGAGTATTGGTACCTTTAGCTAATACTATTCTAGTGAAAGAGAAATGATAAAAAATGGGTTACTTACACATGATTAAAAAAGAGAAATGATAAAAAATGGGTTACTTACACATGATTAAAAAAAAAAAAAAAATAGAGTCTTTGTTAATTACTGAATGGGTCAACAGAATTGTAAATAGTCAATCTCAATCAGAATTTATAATAATAGCTTAAACAAAACATTAATATGGCATTTCTGTTTCATTGATGGGATCCCTCCAGTTCCATCTTTTTTCTGCAGAAATTCATAGCCCCTGAACCTTAATTATGTATATATGTGCACTTATGTATGGCCCAAATGACTAATTATAAAAGTGTTGAAACTGTAGTGCCTTATTGTAATTTGTCAAGTGTTAAGTTGTTAATTTTGAATATTGTCATTTTAGAGCGCTCAAGTAGTGGTAAGAAAGCTAAAGGAGAAAAACGTAAACGATCAAGTAAAAAAGAAGGTAAGAAAACGAAATCTAAAGAAGATGTTGATTTATCAGATGATGATGATGACGAAGAGGATAATCATGAAGATAAAAGTGCGGATGATGATGAGAATGTGAGTGAGGAAGAGGAAGAGGAAGAAGTGGCGGTATGCTTTTGAAATTTTATCCTGATTATCTCCCTTTTTCATTGCCAATGCTGTAATGCAGTTGTAATTTTTGAAAAAGAACTTCTGCCCTTCATTTTTATAGTAACTCAGACATCTTTACTTTGGTCCCCCTCTTTTTTAAAAGCAAATCTAGTGTTGTTTGTTCATTTCTAAATCGTGTCAACATGCTCAACAATGGCCAGGGAAAGTTACTAACATAATCCTGTTTAAATAATTTCACATACTGATCTAACTTACCCTACTGATACTTGGGAAGTAGTCAACTGTATGTCCAGTTTTTTTTAAAGTCATTTGATTACTTCCCTTGTTTAGAGTTTTGCATTTATGTAAAATGAAATAAAATAGGGTATAACATTCTACTCCGACGGGACTAATGAAATCGGGTTGCATTTATGAATTACCTCATTTCTACGAATTGAATAGATCTATACGATTTACTTTCATGTACTGACATTGAGAATTTTTGTAAACAAACAGTCGATCATGAAATAAGGATTAGAATAATACATTGTTTGGAAAATGGTCCTTTTTTGTGTTTTGCATGTTGTGGTTTGCTCACTTGTTGTCAGGTTGTATCATTTTAGGCTCGGTGCTGTATATTTAATGTCTGTCTCTTATTTTTTTAAAGCCACCAAAAAAGAAAGTAAAACATAATAAAACACCGAAAAAAGTAAAACCCAAAGCCGATAAAAGTAAAGAAAATGGCAAAAAAGAAAAAGCAGCGAAGAAAAAGAAAGTGGTTGTAGAGTCTGATGATGAAAGTTCAGATGATGAACCATTAAGTAAAATAAGTTCTGAACCTCCAACTGTAAGTACAACTACTACTATTGTAAATTATATTGAGCAGATAATAAACTGGAAGTCAGGAACATATTTTCATATTCAACAGAAGCAATATTTGTTTCCTTTTATCTCCATATTACTATATTTTAAAGCAAAATTTTCTGCAGACTTTACATAATGTCTGGATGTCTTAAGACGTCTTAGTGTCCTTTTCTTGCTAGTAATTTCAGGAACAATCTGATTAATATGCAGATCTATATTTCATTTCGGGTTTTTTATACTTTCAATTCCCTACACTACATGAAAATCTGACAAGTTGTACTCTAAGGTCGTGTCAGGGGTCAGACATTGATTAATCAATCGGCGTTGGCGTTTTTAATGGTTTACCCACAGTTCCGTGCTTGGAACGTCAAGAAGTCGCTGTAACGGACTGTTTCATTGGCTTATCCCTCACTTCAACCAAAACGTCGGTAATATAACAACTCCTCCAGATCCTAGTTGAGTAAAGACAAGTAAAGTAAAACGAAATTTTGAAATACAAAATTGGAAACGAAATAGGATCTGTGTTTTAATCAGATTGCTTCAGGAACACATTTAATTACATGTTTGTTTTACTTGTATTTTCTAATTGATATTATAGAATAGTGAAATAAAAGTAGTTATAGAGAAAATATTAGATGGAGCTGATTTAGAAGAAGTTACAATGAAAACAGTAGTTAAACAGGTAAATAGTTATCTTTAATACTAGTTATATTCCCTATATTCTTGGTTTTGACTCATGCTTATACACAGTTTTATACTATATCTAGGCCTCATCTTGTGCTACCTGCACACAGTTTTATAGTGTATCCAGGCCTCAGCAGGTGCCTGTACAGTTTAATGTACCTTTATGTTTTTGATGAAAGATTATGGTTCACCTATATCTAAATTCTAACAATAGATGGCTAATGATGAGGGATTTAATTCAATCTACTTTATTAAAAATTTCTAGTAGGGTAGCCCAAAATGAGGCATCATTTATCAGTTCGAAGAAGATTGGGTGTCACGTCTGAAATCATTAAATATATTTTCTAAAATAAATATTTTATATTCCAGGTTTATGCTAAATATCCTTCCTTTGATTTATCTGATAGAAAAGACTTTATTAAAAGCACAGTTAAACAAGTAAGTATCGTCAAAATGGTTCATCATCCTACTGGACAATATCTGTAAAATAAATTCAGAAATAAATGTCTTTTATTTTATATAATACAGAAAACCTTGAACATTTCCTAATTGACAGCATTGCAATCAAAAATTTAGAATCGTGAAGAAATCAAATGTCTCAGCTGTTCTGATTGGGGGGAAAAATTGTCTTATCATTGCTTACTCAATTTTAACTTGTAATGGCTTTCAAAGAAAAGGTTTTCACAATGTTAGATTAAGTTCACTGTTACATTAGACTAAGTGCTCCCAATTGTCTATAATTCATTTGTATATAATTTCTCATTATTCAATCTTTTTTTCCAGATAATATCGTGAGAGGGTATAATAAAGAAGTTATATGGTAGTTATTTTGGGCAGCTTATTATGAAGATGAACAATAATTGAGGAGAATGAACCACAAATGAAAGATAAAAACTTGTTAGTTTTAAGTTATATATAGTCCAATCTGTTTAAAACAGGGCGATTTATTTTATGATGAGTTTGACAATGTTAAGAATTCGAATGTTAAATGAATTGTGTTGTGGTATAATTAACACATTATCGGTTCATTTGATTTTCCTTGTTGTATCTATCCAGTTTTAAGTTGTTTTCAATCATGCATATAGATTGCATTTGTATAGTTAATCATTGTACTAATATATCAACATTTTAACGAACACCTTAAAAGGATCATTTGTTTCATTAAATCATGTATTGATTCACTCATTTGTGTATTGTTTAGTTATTAAGACAGAATAGTACTTTCTATTTGTCGTACATTTGTTTACTCCACTGCCATGTTAGTTTCAAGATATTGGTGTATCAATAAAATGAATATCTTGGGAGCTATCATTAAGGCAAGACTCCATTGGCGATTTATTTTAAGCTAGAAACGACCTGTCATGTTCTTTTTGTGGCTGGGATTCTATCAAGTCTGCTGTAGGATTGTCTGAATATCATCTTCCTGAAAACGAATTGTAGATTTGATAATGCAAGTGACCAATATTTCACTTATGAATTACACCATTTCCATTAAAAATTACACCATTTCCATTAAGAATTAAACCATTTCATTTAAGAATTACAAATGGGCAATAAAATATAGTTCCAAATAAATGTACAAATTGATTTCCTAATTCAGAGCAAAAGAATTTCTGTATAAATAATTAAATTACTGATGTGCCATTTGCATTTATCACTAAAATATCACATTTATCACGGCTTAATACACACTAATATGTACTCAGATTGATTATTTAACATTTAATTAAGAAAACAATATCAAGATACCAACGTTAGATATTGTCCTGGCATGGATTCAAGAGGATTTAAAACAGGCCTGTTAATAAATGTTCTTCTACAACAAAATGGCAACAGGCTTATTGCATAGCGAGCAACTTAGATCGATGAAATTTCAATTCCACATATTTGTTTAACTACTGAATAGAATTGAACCGTATTTGGACTGATTCGTATTAGAGATTCATCTTTCCCAATATTTTAGTTCACAAAGTATTCCTATTGCATAAAATGGTATATTGAGACTTTAATTCACAGATTTCAGTTTGATTAAGTGGGGGTGATATGATGGATGTGTAATTACTTGGTCTAATTTATACACAGCAGCTTTATTCATATCTACTTAAATTAAAATATTTTAAGAATCCAGTCTTTTTATTGGTTAAGAACTAAGATCTGTACTTTGATTGTAAAAATTCTGGCCCCAAGTTCACAAAGCATTCTTAGACTCAAGTTAAGAATTTACTCAACTTTCAATCACTGTTTATGAGACATATCTTTGATCCAGAAACACAAAACTTTGCACACAGTTTCTTATTGATGTATTTGATACATTAAAACAACAAAAGTTTTATAATGGGCTATATTTTAGTTAAAATAAGGCGAACAATTTTGAGTAAATTCTTAACTTAAGTCTGAGAATGCTTTGTGAACTGGGGGCCTGGGGCCTTAAAAGAAGTTTTTGTGAATAAAGTCACAGGTCTATAGAATGCAATTACTGTGCAGTCACTCCACAAAACTGTGTCCTGTTACTAAAGGCCATGGAAACCGTTTGTTTAATATGGTGGGAATCTATGATAATATTGAATTGATTGATTTGTTTTATAAGTATTCTATGAATATCAGATGTTTGATTGTTAAGCATGTTTACTTTGTTAACCATATATAAATGTGAAAAGTATTTTCCCTAGAGGCATAGGTCAAGAAGTGTGGGATTTTTTTTTAGCCGGGTTACCAGTTGTCAGGAATGACAAGCTACAGTCAGGAAAAGAAAAGGCACGGTCAACCTCAACACTGGAGTTCAGATAACAGACAGAAATACCAGTGTCCTGACAAAATTCTCCTCCATAACATTGGACATCTGGCCATTAGAAAAAAAATAATATTAAGTTAGTCTCAAAATAACCAGAGTATTGTGTTGACGAGACATTAAAATCCATTCCTATCCTTACTGAAAGGAGAATAGCTACCATTGTTTCATAGTTATTATGAAAGAAAACTTGATGTATCTCCCCCCCCCCCTCTCTTAAAACTGACACATCTCATTTAGTTCTTCATTTGTACATTTTGTTCATAGGGCCATAAGCTGATATTCAGTGAGAAAAGGCGGTCTTAAAACGTGCAACAAGGGCAACAATCAAAACGTGTGCCCATACTGTTCCGTTTTCCTTATAAATTATATGTAGTTTGCTTATATAATTTACAACAGCCGATGTTCCTCCAAACATAGAGTATAGAATAACATGGTTACTCTTAATGATGATTTGTTTCGAAACTAAGATTAATTTTGATTTTGTAATATCTCGACCTCTAAGAATTGATTTTTGAAACAAGGGATTGAAATTCCCTAAATGATGTATAGAGCTTAAAGATGTATTATTGTGCAAGAGCTAAATCGACCTATCACAAGTCTTTTTTCTGGCATCAAATGTTATATTAATTCAACATTTATTTACATGAAAAGCCCATAATCAACCCTTTTGACCATAGGGTGGCTTCAGACTTTGTTTATTATCATAGGATTGGTACTTGAAGATCAAGACTATCTTGTCAAAACTTTGCTCATAATTAAGTAATTTATAGCAAGAACGGCTAGCTCTTTATGTAAATCTTACATAATGTATCTTTAAATTTACACATTTGTCATTTTACAGGGTAATATGACACATCAATTTGTAGCCAAAAAAATTTGTATTTCTTTAACTGTATACATATTTATACTACCAATTAATTTTATTGAAAATCAATCAATGCTTTGAATACATATTCATTTAGAGTGAGTATTCAGGAATTATTCAGTTGTTACATGTAGCATTTATTATTATTTTATTCATTGTACACTAGTAGGTCAAACATATTTTTATTACTGTTTTTAATCATGTCTGTACAGAATATTGAATAAAATATGCTTGAAAATTACTATTTTATTGGTACTTCAAAATATGGTATGTTTCTCAGAAAGAAAATACAGTAGTAACACAGTTTAAACTCCATGCAAAATAAACTAGGTCACTTTGGGATTTATTTTTGGTATCTCCATTTCAATAATAAACTTGTATAGTATGATCAAATCACAATACTGGATTCTGGGATAGACCATAAGGCGGAGTAACACTAGTCGTTTCATCTTGAGGTTTTATAACTCTAGTACGCTGGCTCGCTAGCCTGGAGGCCGGGTGTTCAGATTCCTGCACTGGCCGAGAAAGTTCATTCAGATTTTCCGGCGTGGTTCACTCTTGTCAGTGATGCAGGACGGAGGGCCTGAAAAGGACAGCTGTCTAGTCCTTCGGATGATGCGGAATACCGAGGTCCCATGTATACATTGGAATGCACGTAAAAGATCCCTTGACAGTTGGAATTCGATACAAGAGTAGGCGATAGTGCCGCTGCCCGGGCAAAATTTCCCTCATAGCACACTGTATGGCGTATGCTTGTCTTCATTAGCCCAGCATAGGAGTAGGACGTTAAACCCCATTTCATTTCTATTGACTGTCTTCATTAGCTCAGTTCGGAGTAGGACATTAACAATGTCATTCAGGATTAAACAGAGCTCCACATTGTTTACATAACGTTACATTATGTCTCAAGAAATTTTTACCCACAATTAACCAGTGCATAGCGGAATATTGCAGAAAAACTAATTGCGTGACAAACAAGGCTATCAAAGGTTAAATGTAAACAATACTGTTTGGAGACGAACAATACTTTCACCATTTCTAATACCTTAAATCACTGTCCAAAGTTTTGGGGAAGACCCCAGATTAAACAAAGGGCTGTCATCTTGCTGTATCATAAGTCAATCCAGCAATGGCCAGAGGGGGATTTCTCGGGCCATTGCTTCAGGAATATGTTGTTCATCCTTCAGAGGTCACATTTATCACTCAATCTTCTTGAAATTTATATGGATTACATCCGTGAGATGAAAAAGCCCATTGTGAATTACCTTTAGAGTTATAGCCCTTGATTACTTCTGCAGTCAATCTAGCATAGGGAGCCTCAGTCAGGAATGCCTGCTGACCATATCCTTAGAATGACACAAAAAAAAAAAAAGAGTAAAAATGTTGCTATTGGTTGGAAGTGGTAGTGGCCTGGATCTCGAGAGCTGTACGGACCGGAAGAAGTCTTAATTGAATTGATGAAAAAATTAAACACAGTGTTTATGTTCATGAATTGAAGAAGCTTATTGATTTTCAATATTTTATATCAAATTTATTTCATCTTAACATTTAATTACTGAGACCAGCTCATAATTTCTATTTTAAGCATAACAAATACAGTGCACTCTTTCACATCCGACCTCTGATCACTCCGGCACTCTGTTACATCCAACACCATTTTCATGTCCCGATTTATTTTAAGTTTGGTCACCCTATGGATCTCTTCGAACCTTTGACGACGACCTGGGGATGCTCGATTCACAGTCCGGAACGTCCCGAATTAACAGAATTTCAATTGAGTGACGCAGAATTCAGTCCTGTCACAGTTCTGTCAGTCCCGACGACGGAGGTGGTGTGAGTAGAATTGTGACGTAATTAAACACGACGAACAGGTTTCGGCTGCATGGTTGGATGAGATATTTATACCCATTTTCACTCGATTGTCACTGTTTTTGGGATTGAGAGAATTCAATTCGGAACGTTCAATCGAGTACGGCCATTATCAATGAACACGTGATAGCAAAGACAAGAGTGCGATCAACTGAAGACGGTGAAGAAGATAAATTAACGACAGACTTGACCTATTCAAAATGCCTATGCATGTTAAATGAATTAAAAATTAATGTAATAAAATTTTGAATGTACAGAAAGGTTTATCATTTTTAAAGGGAATAAAATTCTGGTGATTCGAAGTTCTATGTTCGAAGCTACATTATAATAATACTTCCGGTTTTACGAAGTTACAATATTTCTGGTTTTGAGAAAACTGGGTATTCCGACACTGCGTAATCCGACATATTGTAATGATCCCGTACGATGTCGGATGTGACAGAGTGCACTGTACAGTTGGACTTATTAGCATTGGTGTAGTCAATGGAACCCAACTTCATAGGTCACACTGTTAAACCCTGATATTTTAACCAATTTACGTCTGTTAATAGTCATCTTAAACATATCTCCCAGAATTCGATGCACTGCACATCTTGCGTAAAACTCCCAAAATGCTTAAACATGTCTCCCAGAATTCTGTGTAAAACTCCCAAAATGTTCAAACATATCTAACAATTCTGTGCACATCTTGCATGAAGCTCCCAATATTAAACCTATCTTCCAGAAATCTGTGTAAAACGCAAATAAACAGATCATTTAATTAGCTAATCACTTACACCACAAAGAATGCATTTTATTTAAAAACACTTACTGCTGTGGTGAAGGAGATTGTAAAAATTGAACTGATACAAAAAACAAATGAACTAGGATTCATTATTTTGCGTACCTCAATCCCCACCCTCTTTTCCAATTCCTGTATTCACACTGCTACACAAATTGTGGTAATAATGGCAACCCTAACCCTTTTTACTGGCGTCATTGTAACCCAAACCTTTTTTACTGGTGCTATTGCAACCTCTTTTATCCTGTGTGATTGTAACCATTGTAACCCTAACCCTTTTTACTGGTGCTTTTGCAACTCTAGCCCTTTTTTACCGTTGCTTTTGAAACCCTAACCCTTTTTTTTCCCTGTGCCATAATTACTGAGCACCGTCATTACACATAACCACATTAATTTGGTATTTTAGACAAACAAGGCAAGCTTAACGTTGATGTTAGTGTAGCGGACTCGTAGCCCACTACTAAACATGAGTTTCTAATGTAACTATATCTGCGTCTGGTTGTGACGAGACTAACACAGTAGGTGCACGTTTATCACTGTCTGTTTTTTTATCACTGATTAATTTCTTGGGATTAACAAAACTGGAAGAGTTTGTTAAATTTAGAACTTGTGTCATATATTGTTTATTTTCAAACTGCGCAGAATGGAATTTATCACGTGACACAAACTCCCGATAATAAAGTCTGAGATTGGCTTCTTCCCTTTCTCTTCGGATGTATTTCACCATTAGTATTACAATACTGAAGGCATAGAACATGAGTACTATTATTATATATAACAATGCATCAATTCCCTTTTCTTCAGTTGGTGGAATCATTGTTGAATTCACGTCTAGATTGAATAACGTAAAGTTGGTGGTGTTGGCGACTTTGGCAAGATTTAAAAACATCATACTTGAACTGTAGGTTGACAGACAGATGTTGTGTTTGTCACTAATGTGGTTCTCACTAATGTGTTTCCAGCATGTAACTCTTATTGTTATTCACAATGTATCAAGTTATTGCACTTTATTTCATTTATCCATGTCTGTGCATATTGTATCTGAAAAATAAATAAAACAATTTATATAATACTAACATTTGTGGACGTATATTGTTGTCACCTTTGTCCATCATCTGTGGTCTTTCTACAATTGTTTGTGAACACTCTTGATAAATTTCATCATAAGAAAAAAAAACTATCAAAATTCAGAGTTTTCCTATTGTAAATCAGTCACTGAATTACATTTCAATGATAATGTTTGATGTCCCAAACTCTGAATTCCCATGTTTAAAGCACACATAACTTTCATCATTAATCGCAATTGAATTTAATTGTACTATTCTAAAAGAGGTCATGGGGATTGAGAATATATTCTAACAATCCACAGGCATATCCATCTCTATTGTCTATTAAAAGCGACGAGTAGAGTAAAATAAGACTGTGAATTCTGAATTACCATTACAATTGTTCACATCTCTGCTCAAAATCAGATTAGTTCCGTCCATGATGTGATCACTGGCTTGTAAAGATAACACTTTTATTTATAGGAATATTCTATTGTGAAATCAACCCAAGATAACACCAAGAATTTTAGAATTGTTTATTGGCAAGTGCTCAGTTCTAGAGTAAATCAAAATTCCAATCTAAAAAGAATACACTGATATGGACGGAGAGAGAGGAAAGAAATCTAATGAAATGAAATGGGGTTTAACGTCCTACTGTTCTGCTCCTATACTGGGCTAATGAAGACGGGCATACGCCATACAGTGTGCTATGAGGGAAATTTTGCCCGGGCAGCGGCAATATCGCCTACTCTTATATTGAATTCCATCTGCCAAGGAATCTTTTACGTGCATTCCAATGTATACACCGGACCTCAGTTTTTCATCTCATCCGAAGGACTAGACAGCTGTCCTTGTCAGGCTCTCCGTCCTGCATAGAGAGGGAGAGAGAAATGGGGTATAAAGTCCACTTGACACAAACTAGATCATTTGACTCAATGGCAGTTGACAGACCCTATGATCTAAAACACATGTTAGACCAATCAGCCATTTGGCAACTAAACATTTCCTACTCAATGAATGTTGACAAACCTTATGATCTATAGTGCACACATAAGACAATTCAGCTATTTGGTCACTCAATCCCCCTATATGGACACAGAAAACTAATGTGATCAGTTTCCAACACAAAATGTTCCCGAGTGACATTATGACATGTTTTAAAATCTATCAACACAATATCAGGATATGTCAACGATATCATTTAGGTGGAAACTGACATTAAATAAAGTTATTTCACACACGTGTCAGATGAAACCAAATAAATAAATTTATATAAGTTTTGATGATTCATAGGCTACCATAAGAATGCTAACATTTCCTGATATAATCAGTAACAAGACATTTTGGTTCCAATGATGGATCGAAGAAGAATATTGTATTTTTATTGAGATGATTGTGAAGCATCTGTATTGGTAATCATCACAACACAACAACAGCGATCACAATGATTGTGTTGATGATGATATAAGGATGATGATAAGGTCACCATTGATACTATACATATTAATAACATATAATCATCATCTTATATAACCAGCAATTACCAATTGATGATATACATAATAAACACAAGACAATTACTATTTTAATTAAAGCGTTGTTTCGTTAAGGATGATAACGCTGAAAGGACGCTTTAAAATGGCATCAGTACTTGTGTTGCATAATAACATGTTATTGTGTTTAAAGCCATATGCAATTTAAATGTAAAATTAATTGTCATTTTGAAATGGATTAAAGGACATAATTCCGTAACTCAAAATCCTCCAAAATCTTCGACATCGAAAACACGAATTATTGGTCAATTTAAATCAACATTGATGATGTAAACTTACCGGGAAAAGATGAGCTTCTGATATCCGATATTTAAGATAAAATAATTTTTTTAACATTGGTACACGAATCGTGTACCATAATGCGCTTCAGCCCCAGGTGTATTGAGAGACTCGAGGGACGAGGCTAGACACATTGCACCAAATCAAATGGAGTTATGTAGACTAGAATAACTAGACGCTAGAAATTTGCACTCGATTGAGATTGCTGACTTATTTCGCCGAACATAACTGATTTGAAATTGGAGTAAAAACGGAAACCATTAAATGTAAATCAGTTTATATACATTCATATTACAGTATTATATGCGTTGCGACCCACTTTTGTGAATTTCTAGGTCCCAAATGTTAGCGATTTAGCTCCTTTAAAGATACATTATGGGAGATAAGATAAAGAGATGGCAGTTCTCGCTATAATAGTTAAAAACTAGATAGTGTAAAGGTAATTGCTGAAAATTTCAGTCAAAATGATCCATTTTGAGCCGAGAAAGAAGCCGGTGAAATTTTTGCATAGTCTCGGTCATCATTACTAAAATCATTAATATAAACAGCATAGTCTCGATTATCCTCTTTTTCTGATTTAATTATCTTTGGCCGTTAGCGGCATATAGGAATCTAATCTAGCCTACATCGAAGGCTAGCCTTGACATCGAGAGTTTATTATGGTCTGGATAAGTTAATTAATGTCTAATTGATAATTTAGATAACATTTCAGGCCTAAAGAAAGACTTGTAATAAGCAGATTTTGCTCTTGCATAATGCATGTTTAATATAAGCTTTAAAGCTAATTTCCAAATCCATATAATTCATTATTGTCTATTGTATGTAATTATATGTTAACAAACATTGCTAAATCAAACAAGTGTGTCAATTCACACATCATCGATAACTGAGATTATTGTGGAGATGACATAAACGACTACAGTACAAATGAAAGTAGTGTGTTCTATCCCTTAATACAAATCCTAACAGTTTACACAAGCTTTACAGTTTTAACATGTCAATAATATTAATCATTACCTTAATAAAATGTAAATACATGAACAAACAGAATGATTAAATAAACTCACAGAGTCAATAAATCTTGCGATAAAAACATTTATCTGCTAGATCTAAATCAATTTTCACAAACTTAACTGCAAGCCACGACAACACAAGTTAAATCTCACCTCTATTCTATTATACTGTGAATATAAAACACATAAAGACTTATTCTATAAACACATAATATACTACTCTATATCTCCTATCTATTACACAAAACACATACACATTACATCTATGTTAACACATAATATAGAACTATTTTCTATTCACTACACAATCAAACAAATTCTTACATGTGCAATACATACAGTATAGTCTCGAACATGATAGACTGACTTTATATAAACAGGTAGAATATCAGACAAAAGATAAATACCCATATTATTACAGAACTTGCAATCAATAACTTAAATAAATTACAGCCAGAATAATCTAGTAGTGTTTATTCCCTTCAGGACTATCACTTCATGCCATAAAACCAGAGAGAGAGAGAGAGGGAAGATGGTTTAACCTCCACTCCACCCAAACTAGGTCATTTCAGGACTAACATATGGTTAATTTTATTTCAATAATTTGCTTGAGCCTAGGATTCTTTGGCAGTGGGGGGAAACTGGAGGACCTGGAGAAAACCCATGAAGTTGGACAGGCGACTCTACACCTTTTCACATACAAGCGGGGAATCGAAATCATGCCACTTCACTCAATGACAGACCTTCTGATCCAATGCACACATGTTAACCATTCGACCACGCAACCCCCATAATTTAAAAGGATTTAATCTTAAAACACAATATATACAATTAAATGCATAGTTTTTATGAGTAAAAACACTAACTGCATGTCTTTCTTTAGGCCTTAAATGTTATCTAAATAATTAATTAGCCATTAATTAACTTATCCAGACCATAATCAACTCTTGATGCCATCGCTAGTCTGCGATATTTAGCGGATTGGAATACATTTTTTGAAAAATAATTAAACATAAAAATATATGATCGAAACTTTGTTTTTATCATACCAACTTTAGTAATGATGATCGAGGCTAGCCTAAAATTCAGAGCTAATATCTCGGTTCAGAGTGCAGCAATTTGATTGAAATTTTCAGCGTATTCTATTTAGGGTTTCTATCTTTGAACTAGTATTACGAGAACTGTCAACTCTTTATCTAATCTCCGATAACGCCCCTTTATCTAATACATCAATTATTGATAGACCGACAAAGTTTTCAAGTAAAAACCCTGATATGGACTCTTTAACAACTACACACATCTTGTACTGCATTTGTGAGAACTCCAATACCCATGGATTTATAACACGTCGACAAAGATAAAAAAAAAGCCTTTAAATCTTACTCAGCTGAGGTTCTACACAGGTTTAAATAATTTATTAAAAGCATTCTCCATAAAGTTTTTAAATCAAAGTGACACCCCTTCTAATGTATCCATTAACATTTTTGGCAAAGAAAGGAATAAAAATTTGATTAAAAATTTGAATGTTTAAAGAAATGTTTCTTGATCCCCAACCAGACCTGTCAGTTGAGATATAAACCATATGAATCCAAAGAGGAATCAAATAGTGCAAAATAATTTTGCAAGTCAATGGAAAGTGGTATCAGGTGTTCTAGACTAAATAACTTATTAAACATACCCTAACACATACAAAACCTCACTTTGTTACTACATGACAAATGATATGAGATGTTCTAGAAATAGCAACTTATTAAGCATACACTGTCACATACACAACCTCTTCTTTACTACTAAATGAATATGGTATCAGGTGTTTTAGACAAGTACATGACAAGTGGTATCAGATGTTCACTACCGAATGGTGTGATGGTTTTGTTTTCAGACATGGAAACTACTGGCCCCAAGTTAACAAAGACTTCTCAGACTTTACTCAACTTGTAAATGAAAGGAAATGAAATCGGGTTTAACGTCCTACCACGCCGGAAAATCTGGATGAACTTTCTAGGCCAATGCAGGGATCCAACACCCGACCTCCAGTCTAACGAGCCAGTGTCTTGCCCACCGTGCCCCCCCGACTTGTAATCACTGTTTATCACAAAACTTTGCACATACATGTATTTTCTTATTGATGTATTTGCTACATTAAAACA